ATATATATATATATATATATATTAATAAGATTTAGAATAAGAATTAAAGTTGGTAGGTATGGTATACCACCAATACTGGTTTTGAATACCAGTACAGTACCGAAACAGTATGGTACAATACAAATACCGTACAGGAACATAAGTATGCGAATTCAAATTAAAAAGTTTGATGGCAAAAATATGTACTAATACTAATCGTTATAGTAGGCAAAATCAAATATAAATTCAAAGCCACCAAGGTATGCAAATCCAAATGGAAAACCACAAAGGTATCCAAATTTAAAAGAAAAACTTCGACAGCGACAAATTCAAATGTACAATGCGGCAAATTCAAATGACCAACACCCAAAATTATTATTCTACCTCTTCAATAGAAATATAGTCTTCAACCTCTTCCATAGAAGCGTCAACTTTTATCTCTTCAATGAAATAGTTATCTTATGAGTCCATTATTATTATTTTTTTGTTGTTGTTGTTGCTTTCTTTGAAGGAAAGGAGATGGAAAGATGAGTTGCGGTTTAAGGTAAACAAATCGTCTTTAGACGGAGCGTGGGAGTTATCATGCCCAACCGTTTGTTATAAAATAAATAACACAAAAGAAGATAATTAATGTCCATATCAGTCATTTGAAATTAGAAAATTCATTCAAAGGTGGGTAGGAAGATAAGACATCGAGGTGGGAATAACATCACTCATTCATTTTTTTTAAAATTAATAAATTACAATAGAATTTGACAGATATACCCATCTCATTTTTGCCATATGGACGCGCGTCAACAAATTTGATGGAATAGACAGAACACCGCTAAAAAGTGGAACACAAATTGAGTTCAAGAGTATAAAGTGGCAATACTTTTGTTCCACGAAGGAAATGAAATTAAGTTTCAGTTTCAGAGAGCATTGCAAAAAAAAAAAAAGCCTTAAAGTGAATTGAGGAGGAACTCCTTCTCAATCATAAGGAACAAGCTCCTCTCATTTACATATAGAGACATGAATTGCAAAAAATTTAGGAGTAGCTCATTAGTTTTGCCTTCCAAATGTCATCCCCTCAAGATAGTCTAATAAACGTTGGGTAATGCTAGGGAGACTAAATTTTTAAACTAAATTTGAAAACTAAATGATGTGTCACCAATAAGAAATAAGCACGTTAATTTAATTAACACTTAAGTAATAATTGAATCATCAACTTTCATGTCATTTAGTTTACAAAATCTAGTCCAACAAAAAAAAAAGTTTACAAAATTTAGTTTACAAATTTAGGATACAAACTTTCTTCTAGTTTAGGAATGTTGTCACTTAGTGTAATGCTATTTTTCTTTATTTGTAAGTGAGAGTTTTTTGTTCAAATCTTGTAGATGATGAGTTCGTTACCAATTTAGAACTCATTTGGAAGTGCCTTTAAAATGATTGAAATTGTTTTTAGTCATTTATGCAAGAAGCACTAGTTATGTGCTTGTTCGAGGAAACAATTTAAAATGATTTTCCAGGATTTACTTGCATTTTTACTAAGAACGGGTTCCCAAAATATTTTCACAAAAAACACTTTTAATTATTTTAAGAGCATTTTCAAACGAACTCTTATTTTTCAAATTTAATATAAATATATTATTGTATAAAAGAAAATGGCCAGGTGGAGGAGCAGCAGCTCAAAAGATAGTAGAAAGTGGGCCAAACCAGGCATTAAAAGTGTGTATGGGGATGGAATAGGATGCTTTCATCCAATTCCCAACATTTGATAATGTGTTACAAGAAAATTTCTTATCTCATTAATGTTTGTCCAAACTTTGGATAGGGAGATTGAGGTGCCTTTCCCTATCATTTTTTAATCATGTATCATTTCGTACTTTAGGTTAACGGCATTCCGCCCCTCTTTCCAAAGTTCTTTTGCTAAAGTGTAGGACACTTCCCTACTTAAGACAAACGTGGTACAAATTACACTATAAAAATATTAAACTACAAAGAAAGGTGTACCTTTTTAATTTGTCTATTTTTTAATAATTTCTTTTTATTGAGCATCTCTAAAAGTGATGTCAAAACTGTCACATAGAATTTGACAGCAGCTGTCAAATTTATTTTTATAATTCTTCAATAAAGGTGATGCAATATATAATAAATGTTGGGTGTTTTAAGTATTTGATTGGTTGCCTCAATAATTGGACTCTACAAAGAGATGAAAAAAAAGAGGATATTTTGGATGTGATTCATAATTCTTAACATTTTTTTATTAAAACCTTAATAATATTCAAAGTTTGATCAAAGTCCCTTGACTTTGTACACCTCATTATATTACTATTAATATTTATAGTTTTATAGTTTTGACATTAATTGTTTGATATTTTATGAGATTTATAATCCTATAAATTTAAAATCCCTCATTATAATATTATTAGAAACGGTTACAATAAAAAAAATTCAAACATTTTGATTGAATAAATGGATAAAAACTATGTAAAAATAAGAAATAATAAATGGCAAAAGAATGTATCCATAGTGTTAAAAAATGGTACATTTTACAAAAAAAATGGGTACATTTCACATATAACAAAGTTGTACATTAATAAAGAAGAATGGGTACATTATAAATAAATTAGGGTACATATAAAAGATTAAAAATTATGAGTACAAATGAATTTTTAAAAATATAGGCGCTAAAAGAAATTAATACATGGGTACAAAATAAAACTAAAAAGAAAATACTACAAATTAAAAAAAAATTGTTGCAAATTAAAAGTGGGTACAAACTAAAAATATAAATATATGATACAAAGTTTAGGCATAAAACATAAATATACCATATGTAATTTTTCTATCATTGATTAAATATACAATGTCACGTGACGATATACACATGGGTACAAACACAAATAAAACTTTAAAAAATATGGGCACAAAAAGAAACTAATATATGGGTACAAATTAAAAAAGAAAAGAAAATTGGTACAAATTAAAAAATATTTGCAAATTAAAAATAGGTACAAACTAAAAATAAATATATATACTAAAAAATTTAGCCATAAATATAAATATACCAATTGTAACATTTTTAACACTAAAGGAATATATTTAAAAATAAAAATATTTTATTATTCAAATAATTAATGATGTTATTAATACCCAATGACCTTGATTAAAAATTCAAAATGAATAGGATTTTAATCAATGGAGTAACAAAAAGAAAGATATGAATCTAATTTTCCCTTTTAAATATTAGGATCAAACTAAAATGTTATACCGAACTCATGGATCATTTTAGCTAAAAAACCTAATTTTTATTTACTTAATTTTGTTATTATTTTATTTGCAGGGATATATTTGGAATTTAGCATGAGAAAAATTTGTTGGTTTTTATTTGAATTTTTGAAGAGAAACACTTGTTGGTTGAATTTACTTCAAAATTGGTTGCCAATAAAGACTCCGTATGTAATATAGTACCGTCGGGCGTCCGCCTAGAAAGTCAACCATGTGATTGTGAAAAAGTTTTACAACTTTTCACTTTTCAGGCCATAATGTGAAAAGCAAAATATTTTCCCGTTGAATAATATGCCTATAACACGTGTCCTCTACTAATTGGAGGCAGCAGCACATATCTTTTGCGCATACATGTATGGAATCTTCGTCCTCAGTCCTATCCACGCTTTTGCTCTTCGCTCTCTTTCTCTAAGTAGATGTAGCTGGTGTGAGAAAAAGAAGAGAGATTAACGTGTGGAAATGGAGAAGTTCTTGAAGGACTTCGAGGTGGAGAACAAGAATCCATCGGAGGAGGCTATAAGGAGATGGAGAAGCGCCGTCGCGCTCGTCAAAAACCCTCGCAGAAGGTTTCGATTCGTCGCCGATCTCGCCAAGCGCTCCGAGGCCGAAAAGAAGAAGCTTCAAATCCAGGTCTCTCTCTCTCTCAAATCAAAACTGCACCGTTTTAATATCTAGAACCGGTAACCTGGTATTTTGAGGCGTTTTGCTTTCTTGATTGTTTGGCTGCCGAGAAAACATGCTCGGAAAATGAAAGAAACTGAAATGATTTTCAGCATTATGCTTTTGCTTGATTTATTCTTGATTCCTGTTTACTTTTTCTTCCCTTTGAAGCCAGTTGGAGGATCAGTACTGCTAATTAAGACTGATAAAACTTCACTAATCGCTAGTCTTACATTCTTAATTCAATCGTCATCGTTGTACTGAATCGTGGGTGAGATTTAAAATAGTATTTGAATTTAGGGCGAAAAAAAAAAAAACGAGTTTAAATTTCTTTGTTTTTTTTGCCCCCAAATCTTCGTCGTCCGGTTTGTATTTTCGGTACACTTCAAAAAATTTCGCCTATATTCTTGAAACAAAAGTATTCTCCCAAATTTTGGATATGCACAAAAAATTAGCACATGCTTGATCAATTTTGTATTTTTGGGAGCTAGTGATTTCTTCATCACATGATTGATCAATTTTGTAACAATTGAGAGTATCGGCGAACAGTGCGCTACGCGTTCGTGGTCCCACGCTCGTCTGAGTGTGTAGGCGGTGATTTCTAATTTAAAAAGAGATCAGCCTGCATTCAGAAGATTCAAACTTTAGGAAAGATAATTGTTATTGGTACTTTAAAAATCTTATTTTTTTTTACTTTAAATTTTTTATAATTAGTAAAAAAATTACACTTATAAAGGCTGTAAAATGAGGTTTTTGAAATGTTAATAATAATTTTCTTATAAAAAACCTACAATCTTTGAATAAACATTTTTTATTGTCCAAAGTCCTTGAAGAAACGTTGAGAGAGGCAAAATTTGCTGCGGATTTTGCTAGGCCGGCCACTTTGGTCCCATTTTGCTGTTGACAACTGCTTTTCATTTGGTCTATTTGGTCGGCCTTTGTTTTATTGACTTTTCTCTTTAACCGTATTCTCTAATTTATCAACGGCCATAGATTTATTATTAGCGCTTTAAAATGGACAAACTTTCAGGTATTTTGATAGGAAATATAGGCTAATTTCTAGTTGCTTGCTTAACATGGAATTTGCAAACTTGCTGGTCAGAAACGTTAAAAAAATAAAAGGGGTTTTCTGTTCCTTTTTGGTTTAAAACAAAATTGTTATACTATAGAATATAGATAGCTACGTTGGTCCTAATTTCAGCTAGCAGTTAGTGGGTACGAATATAATAATGCGACTTTCTGACTCCATCTTCCAATAACGACAACGCAGAAAATTTCTGGGAAATTTCGTGTGGGACCAAATGGACTAAATTGAAAACAATGACTTAGGGTAGGGGCAATTAAAAATGTTGGATTTACCACGAAAGTAGTGGATGGTGGCTATTAAATAAGATTGACTTGACCCCTTTTTTAAATCCTTGGAAAGGGTCAGGCCAACAAATGGGGTTATCATGGGCTCCTTTTCCTACCTCATTCACCCCACCTGGACACCCGAAATATTAGGATAAGTTTTGTTTATGTTTTTATCTCGTAAGTAGATGATGGACCATATTTTGAAAATAGATTAACGTTATGCGATAGATTTCGTCATCTAACTACTATTTAACTAGCATATGCGAAATTTTTTATTCTTGTTTTTAAAATTGAATGAAAGAGGAGAGTGAGAGAGAATGCGGGAGTGGGGGAGAGAGGGGACATGTTTAATACGTCTAAGGGTGACAGTTCTTAACAATACTTGAAACCAACATGAAATTAACATATTAGGGTTGAATATTACTTGACACGAAACCTGTATATGACATTACCCGCCAACATGGATTATTTTGACATGACATCCATCTAACAAGTAATATAGAAAGAAATGATTTATTTTTTTCATTTCTAATACGTTTTGTAGGAATCCTTATAGAATAATAAGTCATTTCTTATGGATTTGTTAGTAGCAACGGCAAACCAATTTACTCTTATTTACTAATGTATTGCTAGGTTTGGTGTAAAATTATATTAGCTTAGTTTCAAGTTCTACTTCTCAACAGTTGATCTCCGTTTGGTGATATCAATTTTTTGTTAAAACTTCTGTCAATGTTTGTATTCTCTTAAGTTCCTTGAAGGAGGCCATGTTTCTCATGTATAGACAGCTGAGTTGCATTGATAGTAGCCATATCTGATTTCACAACTGATAATGTGACTTCATTAAAGATTTTATTTAACGACTATATGAGAAAAATAACTGCATATGATGTGTGTAGAACTGCAGACACACACATGTAGCTATAAGCTATGTATTTTTTAAGATATGTATTCATGTATCTATGTAGGTAATCCAGCCGCCGGTTACTATTATTGTCAGTTGAAGTTTTTTCACCTTTTAATTGTTCCTGCAACTATAGGTCTGTATGACATGGTTATCATTACTTTTTTTGACTTTGTTATTCTTATTTGATTTACCAGGAAAAGATTCGAGTTGCTCTTTATGTTCAAAAAGCAGCACTGCATTTCATTGATGGTATCGTCTTTAAATTTATAGCTCAACTGAAATTTCATTGTGTGTTTGCTGACCTCATATATTGAATCCTTTTTCTCTCTTTGTTTGGTGATGTTGTGAAGCTGGTGATCGTGGATCTATTGAAAAGCTTGGTCAGGATGAACTCAAGCTGTCAGAAGATGCCAGAATAGCAGGTTTCAGCATTCACCCAGATGAACTTGCATCTATTACACGTGCCCATGATATTAAGGCCTTGGAAAGCCATGGTGGAATTCATGGGATTTTAAGGAAAGTCAATGTCTCGGTAGATGAAGGTGTCAAGGATAGTACCATACCAATTAGACAAAATGTTTATGGCTTAAACCGTTACAAGGAGAAAGCTCCCCGAACTTTTTGGGTGTTTGTATGGGAAGCACTACAGGACTTAACATTAATAATCCTTATGGTCTGTGCTGTGGTTTCACTTGGAGTTGGAGTTGCCACTGAAGGCTGGCCCAAAGGCACGTACGATGGTTTGGGAATTTTAATTAGTATAATTCTAGTGGTTATGGTTACCGCCATTAGTGACTACAAGCAGTCTTTGCAATTCAAGGATTTGGACAGGGAGAAGAAAAAGATTTTTGTTCAGGTCACTAGGGATGGAAAAAGACAAAAAGTTTCCATTTACGACTTGGTTGTTGGAGATATTGTGCATTTGTCGATTGGGGACCAAGTTCCAGCTGATGGACTTTTCATATCTGGGTACAGTTTGCTGATTGATGAGTCAAGCTTGTCAGGTGAGAGTGAGCCGGTGAATGTATCTGAAGAGAAGCCTTTTCTTCTTTCCGGAACTAAAGTGCAGGATGGGTCAGGTAAAATGCTAGCGACTACAGTTGGTATGAGGACTGAATGGGGAAAGTTGATGGAAACTCTGAGTGAAGGAGGAGAAGATGAGACCCCACTGCAGGTGAAGCTTAATGGAGTCGCTACAATTATTGGTAAAATTGGTTTGACTTTTGCAGTGTTGACATTTTTGGTATTGACAGTAAGATTTTTGGTGACAAAAGGACTTAACAACGAGATCACTGATTGGTCTTCAACTGACGCCGTAACCCTTTTGAACTACTTTGCTATTGCGGTAACTATAATTGTTGTTGCAGTTCCCGAAGGATTACCATTAGCAGTGACGCTGAGCCTTGCTTTTGCAATGAAAAAATTGATGAATGATAGGGCACTTGTAAGGCATCTCTCAGCATGTGAGACAATGGGTTCTGCTAGTTGTATTTGCACAGATAAAACTGGAACATTAACTACAAATCATATGGTAGTTACCAAAGTATGGATATGTGAAAAAATTGTAGATGTAAAAGAAAATGACAGTAAAGAAACATTGATATCAGAAATATCTGGAGCATCAAGCATCCTTTTGCAGGTTATATTCCAAAATACGAGTTCTGAGGTTATTAAGGATGATGGAAAGACCTCCATTTTGGGAACACCAACAGAGTCAGCACTATTAGAGTTCGGTTTACTTTTAGGTGGCGATTTTGATACCCTGCGCAGAGAGGTTAAGATTCTTAAGATCGAACCTTTCAATTCTGTCAGGAAGAAAATGTCTGTGCTTGTAGCTTATCCTCATGGTGGAACACGAGCTTTTTGCAAAGGTGCATCAGAATTAGTACTGGGAATATGTAACAAGTACATTGACTCTAATGGGGAATCTGTTCATCTCTCCAAAGAAATGGTAGACTATATCACGGATGTCATAAATTCTCTTGCCTGTGAAGCATTGAGAACTCTCTGCTTAGCTTTTAAGGATATAGATGACTCTTCTATCGAAAATGTTATCCCAGATGATGGCTATACATTGGTAGCAGTTGTCGGTATTAAGGATCCTGTGCGCCCGGGGGTCAGGGAGGCAGTTCAGACTTGTTTAGCTGCTGGAATCACTGTACGTATGGTCACCGGTGACAATATAAATACAGCCAAAGCCATTGCTAAAGAATGTGGCATACTCACAGAGGGTGGTATAGCAATTGAAGGACCTGAGTTTCGTAGCATGTCTCTAGAGCGGATGAAAGCTGTGATACCGAAGATTCAGGTTAGTAAACAATTGCTTGAAAAATTCACCCTCAATATATATCAAAAGATGCTTCAAATTTTCTAAATGTTCCGTGTTGATACAGGTAATGGCCCGGTCTTTACCGTTGGATAAGCACACATTGGTAAAAACTTTGAGGGATGAATTTGGTGAGGTTGTTGCAGTGACTGGTGATGGGACTAACGACGCTCCCGCTTTGCATGAGTCAGACATTGGACTTGCTATGGGCATAGCTGGAACAGAGGTTTGTATTCTGCCACATGATCCTTTTCCTTCAATCCTGTGATGTTTTGCTTCTAATTAATTCTTTTTTTCCTCTTTCCATTTCCACATCCATTAACATGTAATTCAGAGAGCCTAGTTAAAAATCTCCTACCTTTCGAAAAACTCTCTTATTTTACCTCTTACTGTATAGTTTTCACTATTTATTAATGGGTTTACTGAATACTAAAAGTGCATAAGATTAACTGCCATTTTCTGTCCCATTGCTCGATAATTGAATGTTTTCAATTCTAAATTATTCATGGATATGTGTACAGGTTGCCAAGGAAAATGCTGATGTCATCATATTGGATGACAATTTTAAAACTATAGTAAACGTGGCCAGATGGGGACGTTCAGTGTACATAAACATTCAAAAGTTTGTGCAGTTCCAGTTAACAGTTAACGTTGTCGCTCTAATGATCAATTTTGTTTCTGCATGTGTCTCAGGTATGTTGTCCAGCAGATTTTTCTTATATGAAATGCCGTTATATTTGTTTGGAGCTGAACTGACACGAATAATTACAAATTCCCCCCCTTCTCTTTCAGGATCTGCTCCCCTTACAGCGGTGCAACTGCTTTGGGTGAACATGATTATGGACACTCTTGGTGCTTTGGCATTGGCAACAGAGCCTCCAAATGATGGACTTATGAAAAGGCCCCCAGTTGGGAGGGGTACCAGCTTCATCACCAAGGCTATGTGGAGAAATATCATTGGTCAGAGTATCTATCAACTGGCTGTCCTTGGAGTTCTCGATTTCTCTGGGGAGAAGCTACTAGGACTTACTGGTTCAGATGCAACTGAGGTTCTCAACACTGTGATATTCAACGCATTTGTGTTTTGCCAGGTACATATTACTGGTTTAACCAGTACCCTAGTTTCATCCGTGCTGCCGTGCATCTTCCACATGGTTAACTTTAGTACTTACCAGCATATAACTTATAGTTTTGATGTTATTATTCCTAATTACGCAGATGGTTTTGGGCCTGTGGTTGTTATCTCCCCTCGTGTTTGTTTTCCGATATCGAAAGAATGCTGCTGAAAAGCTTGTATTAGTAATACTCAAGTCCCACGCATGTATGATCTTGGCTTTCTTTTGTTCTAACAGGTGTTCAATCAGATAAACAGTCGTGACATAGAGAAGATAAACATATTCCGTGGAATGTTCGACAGTTGGGTATTTCTAATCGTCATGGTTTGCACAGCGGCCTTCCAGGTTATCATAGTAGAGTTCTTGGGAGCTTTTGCTAGCACTGTGCCACTAAGCTGGCAACTATGGTTACTCAGCATTTTACTTGGAGCAGTTAGCATGCTTGTTGCAGTTGTTCTCAAATTAATACCTGTTGAAAGGACAACTAAGCACCATGACGGATATGAAGCGCTTCCTTCCGGTCCTCCAGAGGGCATAGTTTGAATAGGAGCGTTTCAGACGCCCTTTTTTCCTTCCCAAGGCTAGACGACGTCTACTGACTGAAACTAGTACGCCCTGAGATAGTCAAAAGGCCGTTTTAAGTTGCAGAGTTTTTTGTGTTGTTGAAAGTGACGGTCCTGTGAAAGCTCTGCTCGGTATTTTGTTTTTGTTTTCAAAAAGCTAGAAAGGTTTGGTTCAGTCAGTAGATTTGGTAGCATTTTTCCTTCTACGAATTCCCCACCCACAAAGCAATTTGAAGCACATTGCGAGGCTTGAGATCTTCGAAATCGTTGTTTAGAATTTTCGGTTATCTGATTGAACCTCGGTATAGTTGGTTAGAAAGAGAAATTTATGCTGTTCTTAAACGCATGTGTGAAGGTTTTACGCGACGCCATAGTGCTTACAGTTGCAGTATCTATCTGCGTATCATTTGTATTTCAGTGAAGATTATAAATTGAAATTGTGTTCATATAAGACAATGAATTGTGTTGGAATAGTTTTGTGAATCTTTCCTATTTGACTGCATTCCTCTTCGTTTGTAAATGAGAGATCTAAGCTTTGAATTTCATGTAACTTGAAATCATCAAAACTCAAAAAAACTTACCTTTCAAGCGACAAGAGGTAATAACGAACGCAGTTCGAAGAGTTTTACTTGGAATGAACCGGAGAGACCGGAAATACATTAGCTCTATGAATAATTAGGATAGAATCTGGTACAAAAGGAGTTGCTTGTATACATAATAATACACCACCACAATGGATTCTCTTTCTTTCTCTAATACACCATCACAATGAATTCTCTCTCTCTCTCTGCTAAAACATTATTCGCTACGAATCTACGTGCACATAATCTCACTAACAAAATACTTAAGCCTTCAAAAACAAAGAATTTGGTAAATGTCAAGGATCGCTTATCTGAGTCTCCGTTTTGCTTCTCCATAGGCAACGACTCCCATAACAGTTATCATGTAACCGCCAATGCCGATAGTAAAAGAATTGAGATAACAACAGCCACTGCGCCTTTTGCATTGCCTAATACCTGATTGTAACATAATTACCATAAAACAAATTATACGAGTCCAAGAACGAGCCAAAAATAAATAAACATGTTTGTTTCACCTACAAAAAATTGATTCGGCTGCATTCGAAATGTGTTTGTACTGCATTTAAGGCTTATGATTATGTGCAGACAGAGTTGCCATTTGACTGGCCTTTTACACTACGAGCTTACAGTCGTAACTAGCTTCAACTGGCAGCAGTTTAATCAATGTTTTGATCCTATTCCCAATAGAGTTGACACTTTACGGGTGTACAATCACACTACAAGTTGGATTTTAGGTTTTGATTGCCAGGTTTGGGGTAGTCAGTGTTTTTCTACAATAAAATTCAATTCTACTTTAGCGGATTTTTTGCGAACGTGTGAATTGTGGAGTAGCTTCTAAGATGAATGTTTGCATTCTTTTCGAAAACGAGGAGTCTGGTCATAATCGAGCAATGCTCAAGCTGCTACACTGTCAAGATGGACAACACATTCAAGAGTGGCATCTACGACATTGGGCTCCATTATAAGTGCAGCAGGCAACAACACAAGAACAGCAATCGGAGACATGTACAGCAGCAAATTCATTGAGTTCAACTTCTCCCTGTTCAGTGCTAAGACATATAAACAGAACAAGTAGTAAGAAAACACCACAGCAAGAAAATAGTGAATTAATTTGGCTTGGGATAAAGATGGAACGAAACTGAGAAACCTACAAACTGAACTTATATCACAACTATTTGGAAAATTATAGTTTTGATTGCAGCGTGTCCGTTGTTTGCCAATCAAATAAAGCAAGGGGAGCATATCTAACACGTATGTGTAGGCTCTAGTAACAGCCTTCAAAGAAAAAGTTTACAATTAAGAAATAGAATAACAGCCTTCAATATTAAAGAGAATGTATCTAACACGTATGTGTGGGCTCTAGTAACTACTAAAAGGTCGTACCCAGTGCACAAGGCTCCCGCTTTACGCATAAGTAACAAAATTAAATAAGCAATTAGGAATACAACACTTAATGGTTTATATTCAAACACTCATTGCTTTCTTTACCTAAGAAGAAAAATTCACGCTTGAGGTGGTCTAGCCCTCATCCTAATTGTAAAAGAGGTCTAACAGCGTGCGATTAGTTATTTATTTCAGTCTAACCAGAACCTTTTTGGACATCTATATTTATGTCCGTCCACAAAGAGATGATTTACATGATTCCTACAAGTCTGAAATCTCTGTAACTACAGCACAGGGTGTAGCATTCACACAAGGAAAGAAGACACGTAAGCCCCCGTATCTTGACAATGGCTTTTTTGAGCTCTCTCTTTCTACTGATGATTGAATTGTCCACAATGGTTTCCAAATGAAATATGAGTTTCAGGACTCTTCGGGGTTCAAGGTAACCAAGAAAATGGCTGTGCATGATGAAACTATAGAAATCTCCATTATCTCTGAGATCAGCCTTCATAAGTTATTACTTATTGGAATCAAAGCACATTTCTGATATAAAAAGTTAAAACACAGAATACAATATAAGCCAAAACAGTAAACTGAAAAAACAGGCTGTTACATTCTTAAAATTCATTAGATACATATATCATATGCCAACACAAACTTTAAACACCAGCCTCGCATAATAACAACAATATCCATGCATGGTTTTGGATATGAATGACCCCTGATTTCTCGAATTGCTTACTTCTGCCACGATAAAAGTAGCATTGTCCATTATTAATTACAACTACAAGTGACACTGTTTTAAGAGAATGGTGCTTCTCCGATATTTGTAATCTGTCTATACCAAATCTCAAGCCAAAGAACACTTTCTAGTGGCATTCCAAGTAAAAAACTGATGACTCACTACCCTCCAAGTGCTTTCGGGTAAGAATAAATTCGCAACAGTCGGGCTAATTTGCCTATAAAAGGAGGAAGAGGCCTCAAAGACAAGGAGACTCAACCAATCAAACAAACAAACATACAAACTCGGCTCTCAAGCTAGATTTGCATCCAAAAGCTGTAATCAGCCCAAATCTCAGATCTTCTTAGGATAATTCCCTACAAAAGCCATCTTTTGTCTAGTTTAAAGCTCTGCTATCTCCCTCAGCGGCGTAGTATCGATTCCCTTGTGTAAACTTGTTTACCATCCATCCTTTTTAGCGTATAAACCCTTGTTAGCTCAAAGAGAAGCGATTGCAAGAGGTTCAACTTTGCCAGACAAGGTGAAATCTTGATCGAGTCACTTTGTTTATTTGCTAAATTGTAGATCTATTACTTAATGCATTCTCCAGTATGTGTTCAAGTCATATTCACCTATTTTCCTACTTTAAAAGTCTCATTTGCATCTGGATCTGGTTTTGGTTAGTTTAAAGGATATGTTATCATTAAAATCAATCAAGAACCATGTAAACGGCTTAAGGGGCTCTAAACTCTCCTCCTTCGAACATACAAGACTATGAACTAAAAGTCTTTGTTTATAAGGCAAGAAAAAGAACTTAATGTGGACTTAACCCATCCACGACAATCTTTTGATAACAAGAAGTCTGAGTAACTTGGGGCACAAGTAATGGACTAAACACACTCTTGTTCTACATCTGCTATACTGAGATAACAGTGGCACGCCTAGCACTTAATTAGTTTTGATTGCGAGCCTCAATGCCTACATCTAAGGCCCCACAAATGTACCTTTCAGAACTAACTTTGTCCTCTTCTTGCAGCACATCAGCAAGTAAGAGCCCGACTACACATCCAAAATGCCAATCCCTTGGGGAACTGTGCTGAGTGCCAAGGAACCCTCTCAGGAGAAATCTTCGCCCAAACAGTTTGTTTGGAGGAACAAGTGCTTGGAAGCCTTAGATCATATTTGTTTGGAGAAGAAGCTTTGCTCTGAGCTTCAATGGAAAGTTATTATTTTTGCACTCTTGGTTTTGGATTTTTCTTTTCTTTCCTTTTTTTAATTTTCTTTTTTCATTTTGTGTAATTTTAATTTTATATCTTTCTTGTTTTATTATTTTACTAGCCTCTTACACACGCACACACATAAGTGTTTGGTATTAGTCTTTTTATTTTTAATTTGTTTATTTAAATAGCTAATTTATATTTTTATTAAAAATTATTCAAAACAAAAAACATGAAACATAACCACCCACTAATGTTGGATTTTTTTTTTCTTTCCTAAAGTTTTAATTCCATTCAAAATTAAAATGTGGTGAATTAATTTAACTTTTTTGGTTCAATTTGTATTTCTAAAATTTTGTAAGGGCACTTTATGATATTTTGAATGTTTTATTTTTTAGGGTGATCAATTCATATATAATAAGATTATTGTTATTTTTTTTTTCTCACTTTTATACTTCTATAAATCGAAGTTTATCAAGTGCTCATGAGGTAACAAAAGTCCTATCACGTTAGTAGTTAATAAACAAATTAGTGGTCAGACCAACTAAAGCTTAAAATAGTAAGAAAAGTTAAAGTTTAAGACGAAAATAAAATAAAAATAATATGAGTAGCGAAACATAGTAGTAAAATGGAAATTACTGTTGTGGCCTATATTTAATTGAGGGGTGTGGCATAGGGAAGAAGAGATTGGAGAATATGCTTGAGGAATTGTTTATTAATTCCCTAGTCCTTGTGCCTTTATTTATAGTAATAAGGAGAGAAACTTGCTCTCCAAGTAATACAAAGTCTATTAGGAAAGATCTTCTAGATCCTAAAGGATTCCTATTCTATCTCTACTTAGGATTGACACAATCACAATAATGATAAGAACATCACAACACTCCCATTTGAGTGTGCATATACTTAAGTAGATGGCGCATCAGATCTTCAGGCAAATGTAGAAGCAGCTGATGAAGTCGTCTCGTTTAGTCGACATAAGTAACGAATGCATGTCTCAAAACAAACGAAAGAATGCATGGGTGGTAAAACTCACAAAATCTCGCCATGGCAAAACCCAAGGTGGGACAAAAGCCCATAGTCAAAGGAGGAAAGTAAGAAGTTGCATTAAATCAAAACTATATGTCTTCGGGACCCAAGTAAAACGTACACAAGGGTTTAACCAACCCAGGATGGGCGCCTCATCAAAACCTAGTTAGTAGCAAAAATCTAGTGGGAAAAATGCTCCTAATCGTAGGAAAAATAGTACATTAAGGTCAAGTGAGTATACTTCTGGATATTCCCTTTGAGTTTGACAAAACTTCCAAATGAAACTACAAACATCGCAAATGAGAAAGTTACGCATACCAATTCCTCAGACAAGCTTCTGGAAGGTAAACTTCGGCAGTGACTCCGTGTAGAGGTCGGCAAGGTTGTCTGGGATCAGATTGCTTAACTTCAATATTCTGATGCTCATGCTGATGTAGACATAATATGCTTGGCGTTGACTTGTTGGATGTATCATGATTTGGTTGATACATACGACGTTGTCTTCATTGATTGTTGTTGGGATTCAACGATGGATGAAAATCTCAGGGAGTTTGAATATGTTCAACAAGAGTTCTCAACCATATCTTTCATGTGATGGGACAGAGTGAGTCTTGGAATGATTCAAAGGTTTCGCAACTAAGGGTCTATCTGGTTGACCTCCAAGATATTGCGGTGTTCCTTAATGGTAAAGACTTAACCATTCAGGAACATACCTTGTGCAGTCATATAAATTGTCTGATTCAGCGAATCCCACAAGGTAGACATCATTTCGAAGATCAAGGGGGTGTGATATATTATGAGATGCATAGGGATAGATAAGCCCAACTTTGTAGTAACGGAAAAACGTCTTTAACACCAATTTGGTGATGGCGTGTAGGCGCAATGCTGCTTATGCCAAAAGATTATCAGCACATAAGATGTTCAATTCTAGTGCATTGAGCTAAATACAACAAATGCCAATTGTACTTAGATATGGTTGCCTCACGTTCCAATATGGAACCTTATGCTTCATACCCTCCGTAAAGGTCTCATTTGCATCTAGCGTATAGACGATCAGGGTATACTTGGATATAACACCTTCTAGGTCTAGTTCGACTCGTGGACCAGAATACCATTAGAACTAGTTCGAAACTTCAGGTCGAGGTAATGTCGAGTTTTCCCAAGGTTATTCATCTTAAAGTCTGACTTTAAGTGCGAGTCAGTTTTCTCAACTCTATCAATTTCGGATTTTGTACACGTAGGGGCAGGGGCATATATCCCTAATTGATTAAATATTAACTTAGACGGGTATACCACATCCTATCGGATAGTTCTGTATCCGCAAAGTGAAGGCCTCTTGAGAATCGAGAGGGTGTTCTTGCTGTCTAGAACTATTTGAATCAGTACATGTAAGTCATTTGGAAACTCCATGTAGGTTCGTATCAGGATCCCAAAGATACTACAACCACATTTGTAATGCTGCAATCAATCACATGGTGTATGAGAGAAATCTTGCGCCACAATGCGTCATATTGCACTATTTCATTCATCTCATTTGTCATGGATTTCGAGCTGACCAATCAGTTTTACGTTGACATTAATCAACGGAGTGCGGTTCGTTATCGTCGTTTTTCATTTATGTTGGTAGTTACCATATAAACGAAACATCATCTATGATAATCTCATTTCAATTCCATATCTCATCCAAACTAGTATATTGGACCAAGAACTTCAGGTCTCAGGAGTAATCTGGATCTAATCTCATGAGATGAAAAAGATTAAGACAGTGATCGAGGGGGCAGATTCGTTCATGCCATGTTCTTCCAATTTTAGGGAAATGAATCCTCGAACCGAGTGATTTGCCATGCTTCTAGCGCAATATAGATTGATTGGCTACATGCCAATGTATGAGGGGTCTACGTGAAAATTAAAAATTCAAATTTTTTTATTTGGTCGTCTTCTACCTCCCTCGACTTTCCCTTCCTCCCTTATCCCTTCATTCTCTTATTTGCACCAACCCACCAAACCCTCATCTCCTATCCTCTTTGACTTGTCATACATCCACCCTTCCCTCTCCATCTTTGACTCCACCCATCCACCGACCCACCCAACCCTCCTCTTCTCTTCAACGACCTTCATGAGCTCGAACCTCCGACCCTTATCTACCTGATTTGACAACAGTGGAGAGCCACATGGTGCTAACCAAAACTACAACCCCTTCGCCGCCAATCTTCTGGATCCTGAAGCTCCTCCGATTGCAACTGGTTCCGGTGTCTTCTCCAAACCCCAAGAACCACCTCACCTCCTCGTATGAACCCTTCGATCTCTTCCTCTCCTCCGCCAGCAGCATCCAAATCAACAACACCACCTTCTTTCATTCCATCTTGTCGATGTCACAGACTCTCGATAGCTACCAAGAACAATATCTCCCCTCTCATCCCGTACGGAAAATCCCATTTCCCCAAATCCAATTGATTTTACAACCACCCAATCCTTTTTTTTACTTAATTTTGTTATTATTTTATTTATAGGGATATATTTGGAATTTAGTATGAGAAAAATTTGTTGGCTTTTATTTGAATTTTTGAAGAGAAACACTCGTTGGTTGAATTTACTTCAAACTCTCTATGTAATATGGTATCGTCTGGCGTCAGTCTAGAAAATCAACCATGTGATTGTGAAAAGTTAAACAACTTTTTCAACGTTTGGATAATGCCTATAACAGCAATAACATTACGCTTGTCCTCTACTAACTTAATAATGCCAAATATGTGAAAAGTAAAATATTTTCCCATTGAATAATAGAAAAACTAATGAAAAAAACTTAAAAACTTTGAATTTTAATGATAAGAACAAAATAAAGGATAAAGTAAATAGTACCATCATTAATTTTTTAGTGTAAAAATATGGTTTTTCGTTAAAGTAAACAATATCAGAGTTTTTCGTTAAACTTCGGATGAATAATGCCTATAACAGCAATAACAGTACACGTGTCCTCTACTAATTGGAGGCAGCAGCACGTATCTTTTGCGCTTACATGTACGGAATCTTCGTCCTCGCTCCTATCCCTGGTCAGCGTTTGGACTTCTGCCTATACGATGACAAAGCTGTGAACAGTATAAAGGGCGAGACTCACATTTTGCTCTTCGCTCTCTCTTTCTCTCTCTAGATGTTGATGGTGTGAGAAAAAGAAGAGATTAACGTGTGGAAATGGAGAAGTTCTTGAAGGACGTCGAGGTGGAGTACAAGAATCCATCGGAGGAGGCTATAAGGAGATGGAGAAGCGCCGTCGCGCTCGTCAAAAACCCTCGCAGAAGGTTTCGATTAGTCCCCGATCTCGCCAAGCGCTCCGAGGCCGAAAAGAAGAAGCTTCAAATCCAGGTCTCTCTCGCTCTCAAATCAAAACTGCACCGTTTTAATATCTAGAACTGGTAACCTGGTTTGAGGCGTTTTGCTTTCTTGATTGTTTGGCTGCCGAGAAAACATGCTAGGAAAATGAAAGAAACTGAAACGATTTTCAGCATTATGCTTTTGCCTGATTTATTCCTGATTCCTGTTTGATTTGCTGTCATTTGAAGCCAATCACTGATCGCTAGTCTTACTTTGTTAATTTCATCGTCATCGTTGTACGGCTGAGATTTAAAATAGTATTTGAATTTAGGGCAAAAGAAAATTTCCTGGATTTCTTCTGCTCTCATCTGTATTCTCGGTACACATAAAAATTTTCCACCTACATTCTTGAGACACATAAGTATACAAAACTTTACCACATGCTTGATCAATTATGTATTCTTGGGAGCTAGTGATTTATTCATCAAATGCTTGATCAATTTTCTAACAATAGAGAGTATTGGTGAACAATGCGTTACGCGTTGGTGGTCCCACATGCATAGGAGAGACCCCATTGCACTTGCAGTCACATTTCCATGTAAAATAGTTTTGCATTGCAATGACAGTTTGGTAATATTTCTGTGGCCTGGACACTTGACTACACACAAATATGAGGATTAACTAACTAAAAGCCGGATGGGTAGTTTTTGTTATTAGTTCTAATACTAATATGGGGAGGTGAAACATTGTGAGAAAACCCTGGCTTTAGCATTTTCTTATGTTATCCAAGGGTGACAATTAGAGGTCGCACTTGGTGCGATGGCAAGTGCCTTCGCCCATGAGCGGTAGGTCTCGGGTTCGAGACTTGGGAGCAGCCTCTCCATAAATGGGGGTAAGGCTAGCCGACATTCACCTCTCCCAGACCCTGCGTAAAGCGGGAGCCTTGTGCACTGGGTACGACCTATCCAAGGGTGACAATTCTTAACAATACTTGAAACCAACATGAAATTAACGTATTAGGGTTGACTATTACTTGACACGAAACCTATGTATGACGCGACCTGCCAGCATGAATTATTTTGACTTGACATCCATCTAACTAGTAATGTAGAAATCCTTGTAGAATAACAGGTCATTTCTTATGGATTTGTTAGTAGCATCGGGCAAACCAATTTACTTTTATTTACTCATGCATTGCTAGGTTTGTTTACAATTATATTAACTTAGTTTTAAGTTCTAGTTCTCAACAGTTGATCTCCATTTGCTGATATCAATTTTTTGTTAAAACTTCTGTCAATGTTTGTATTTGTAGACCTGAGAACAACTTTTATTACCCTGTGTACGAAAAATTCTCGTAAGCTTCTTAAAGGAGTATGTATAGAAAGCTGAGTTGCATTGAGAGTAGCCATATCTGATTCAACAACTGATAATGTGACTTCATTAACGATTTTATTTAAGGACCATATGAGAGAAATAACTGCATATAATGTATGTAGAACTGCAGACACACACATGTAGTTATAAGCTATGTATTTTTTAAGATATGTATTTATATATTTGTGTAGGTAATACAGCCACCGGTTACTATTATTAACAATTGAAGTTTTTTGGCCTTTTGATTGTTCCTGCAACTATAGCTCTGAATGACATGATTATCATTACTTTTTTTTACTTTGTTATCTTATTTGATTTACCAGGAAAAGATTCGAGTTGCTCTTTATGTTCAAAAAGCAGCACTGCAGTTCATTGATGGTATCGTCTTCAAATTTATAGGTCAAGTGAAAGTTCATTGTGTGTGTGCTGATCTCATGTATTGAATCCTTTCTCTCTCTTTGTTTTGTGATGTTGTGAAGCTGGTGATCGTGGATCTATTGAAAAGCCAGGTCATGATGAACTCCAGCTCCCAGAAGATGCCAGAATGGCAGGTTTTAGCATTCACCCAGATGAACTTGCATCTATTACACGTGCCCATGATATTAAGGCCTTGGAAAGCCATGGTGGAATTCATGGGATTTTAAGGAAAGTCAATGTCTCGGTAGATGAAGGTGTCAAGGATAGTAATATACCAATTAGACAAAATGTTTATGGCTTAAACCGTTACAAGGAGAAACCTCCCCGAACTTTTTGGGTGTTTGTCTGGGAAGCACTACAGGACTTAACACTAATGATCCTTATGGTCTGTGCTGTGGTTTCTATTGGAGTTGGAATTGCCACTGAAAGCTGGCCCAAAGGCACGTACAATGGTCTGGGAATTTTAATTAGTATAATTCTAGTGGTTATGGTTACCGCCATTAGTGACTACAAGCAGTCTTTGCAATTCAAGGATTTGGATAGGGAGAAGAAAAAGATTTTTGTTCAGGTCACTAGGGATGGAAAAAGACAAAAAGTTTCCATTTACGACTTGGTTATTGGAGATATTGTGCTTTTGTTGATTGGGGACCAAGTTCCAGCTGATGGACTTTTCATATCTGGGTACAGTTTGCTGATTGATGAGTCAAGCTTGTCAGGTGAGAGTGAGCCAGTGAATGTATCTGAAGGGAAGCCTTTTCTTCTTTCCGGAACTAAAGTGCAGGATGGGTCATGTAAAATGCTAGTGACTACAGTTGGTATGAAGACTGAATGGGGAAAGTTGATGGAAACTCTGAGTGAAGGAGGAGAAGATGAGACCCCACTGCAGGTGAAGCTTAATGGTGTCGCTACAATTATTGGTAAAATTGGTTTGACTTTTGCAGTGTTGACATTTTTGGTATTGACAGTAAGATTTTTGGTGACAAAAGGACCTAACAACGAGATCACTGATTGGTCTTCAACTGATGCCGTAACCCTTTTGAGCTACTTTGCTATTGCGGTAACTATAATTGTTGTTGCAGTTCCCGAAGGATTACCATTAGCAGTGACGCTGAGCCTTGCTTTTGCAATGAAAAAATTGATGAATGACAGGGCACTTGTAAGGCATCTCTCAGCATGTGAGACAATGGGTTCTGCTAGTTGTATTTGCACAGATAAAACTGGAACATTAACTACAAATCATATGGTAGTTACCAAAGTATGGATGTGTGAAAAATCTGTAGATGTAAAAGAAAATGACAGTAAAGAAACATTGATATCAGAAATATCTGGAGCATCAAGCATCCTTTTGCAGGTTATATTCCAAAATACAAGTTCTGAGGTTATTAAGGATGATGGAAAGATCTCCATTTTGGGAACACCAACAGAGTCAGCACTATTAGAGTTCGGTTTACTTTTAGGTGGGGATTTTGATACCCTGCGCAGAGAGGTTAAGATTCTTAAGATCAGACCTTTCAATTCTGTCAGGAAGAAAATCTCTGTGCTTGTAGCTTATCCTCATGGTGGAACACGAGCTTTTTGCAAAGGTGCATCAGAAATAGTACTGGGAATATGTAACAAGTACATTGACTCTAATGGGGAATCTGTTCATCTCTCCAGAGAAATGGTAAAGAATATCACGGATGTCATAAATTCTTTTGCCTGTGAAGCATTGAGAACTCTCTGCTTAGCTTTTAAGGATATAGATGACTCTTCCATCGAAAATGGCATCCCAGATGATGGCTATACATTGGTAGCAGTTGTCGGTATTAACGACCCTGTGAGCCCGGGGGTCAGGGAGGCAGTTCAGACTTGTTTAGCTGCTGGAATCACTGGTGACAATATAAATACAGCTAAAGCCATCGCTAAAGAATGTGGCATACTCACAGAGGGTTGTATAGCAATTGAAGGACCTGAGTTTCGTAGCATGTCTCTAGAGAAGATGAAAACTGTGATACCGAAGATACAGGTTAGTAAACAATTGCTTGAAAATTTTCACCCTCAATATATATCAAAAGATGCTTCAAATTTTCTAAATGTTCCGTGTGGATACAGGTAATGGCCCGGTCTTTACCGTTGGATAAGCACACATTGGTAAAAAATTTAAGGGATGAATTTGGTGAGGTTGTTGCTGTGACTGGTGATGGGACTAACGACGCTCCCGCTTTGCATGAGTCAGACATTGGACTTGCTATGGGCATAGCAGGAATAGAGGTTTGTACTCTGCCACATGATCTTTTCCTTCAATCCTGTGATGTTTTGCTTCTAATTAATTCTTTTTGTGTTACCTCTTTCCATTTCACATCCTTTAACCTGTAATTCAGAAAGCTTAGTTAAAAATATCCTTCTTTTGAAACATTCCCTTATTTTACCTCTTACTGTATAGTTTTTTACTAATTATTAATGGGTTTTACTGAATATTAAAAGTGCATAAGATTAACTGCCATTTTCTGTCCCACTGCTTGATAATTGAATGTTTCCAGTCTAAAATATTCATGGATATGTATACAGGTTGCCAAAGAAAATGCCGATGGCATCATATCGGATGACAATTTTAAAACTATAGTAAATGTGGCCAGATGGGGACGTTCAGTGTACATAAACATTCAAAAGTTTGTGCAGTTCCAGTTAACAGTTAACGTTGTTGCTCTAATGATCAATGTTGTTTCTGCATGTGTCTTAGGTATGTTGTCCAGCAGATTTTTCTTATATCAAATGCCGTTATATTTGTTTGGGGATGAACTGTCACGAATAATGACAAATTCCACATCTCTTTCAGGATATGCTCCCCTTACAGCGGTGCAACTGCTCTGGGTGAATATGATTATGGACACTCTTGGTGCTTTGGCACTGGCAACAGAGTCTCCAAATGATGGACTTATGAAAAGGCCCCTAGTTGGGAGGGGTACCAACTTCATCACCAAGGCTGTGTGGAGAAATATCATTGGTCAGAGTATCTATCAACTGGCTGTCCTTGGAGTTCTCAATTTCTCTGGGGAGAAGCTACTAGGACTAACTGGTTCAGATGCAACTGAGGTTCTCAACACTGTGATATTCAACGCATTCGTGTTTTGCCAGGTACATATTACTGGTTTAACCAGTACCCTAGTTTTATCCGTGCTGCCGTGCATCTTCCACACGGTTAACTTTAGTACCTACCAGCATATAACTTCTAGTTTCGAATTTATTATTCCTAATTAAGCAAATGGTTTTGGGCACATGGTTGTTATTTCCCCTCGTGTTTGTTTTCTGAGATCGAACGAATGCTGCTCCAAAGCTTGTAGTAGAAATACTCAAATCCCACATATGTATGATCTTGCCTTTCTTTTGTTCTTACAGGTGTTTAATCAGATAAACAGTCGCGACATAGTAAAGATTAACGTATTCCATGGAATGTTCGACAGCTGGGTATTTCGAATCGTCATGGTTTGCACAGCAACCTTCCAGGTTATCATAGTAGAGTTCTTGGTAGACTTTCATAATTTAGAATATCAGCATTATCAAAAGGTTTATAAGCCGAATGCATGTTACGAAATGTTGTGATACGGAAACTCTTTTTATGGTTCTAATCAATGTCTCCAGATAGGGCTCCACTTTGTGGTTCTAATGCATTTAACGGATTTAAGTAAATCTATTATATTTGGTGTAAATAAGTGTCTGTTTATTCTTAAAATATATATAATTTCATCATAATCTACAAAATAGAATGTCATATATATTATGAAGCATTGGAACATAATGAAAACATGGGGAACAAGCATATAATGTGTGTTTATTTAAGTATTCAACAAGTCTCCTACAATTTATTGAAAAGAATAAAATGCAAAATGAAAGTTATCTATTTTCTGTCTAAGTGAGTCACAACCTAGGCCGGTTCCTAAGCGGGTCTGGACGGGCTAGGCGGGTGCTTAAGTGATATAGGCCGGCGCCTCAGCAGGTCTAAATATTTGGCTCTATAATTTACGTATAAAGTTATTGATATTACAATTGTAATATTATTTCAATTTTTATTCTTGCCGTTTCTGAACTTTAATTATTGTAGATTTACCCTAGACCTGTAAACAGACCCAATTTGAATCTATAATCAGATCTATTTATAATCGGATTATTGGATTTGGATTTCGTACGTGCTTAGGTTATTGAATATGACTTGTCTATCCATATTCGTTAAGCATCTGATCCGGATCGGATTATTGTATTCTGATCAGATGCTAATTTGGATTATTTAATTTTTAAGTTAAAAAACCTTGAATTATGTAGAAAATAGTGTAGTTTGAATGCTTGGAAAAACTTATATTACTGTCTTTATTATAAAATAATATAGAGAATATGTGATATGTTATTGAGTCACGTCCGATTATTATTGGATCCCCCTGAAACCATAACTGGATTGATAATCCGATTATCGTATTCTGGTTGTATTCAGATTATTGGATTGCAAGTCTAAATCCATATTCTCTTAATTAAATTGGATTCAAAACAAATCATGATCAAGTTCCAACCTATTTACAAATCTACTTCAATAACCTACTTTTCTTCCATCCCTCTTTATTTTTTATTTTTATTTTTTGTAAATATCATTTCTTGTTTCGTTTTTGCTTTTCGGTAAATTGAATCATTTCTTATTTCGCTCGTTAGTGGGACCCAAAAACTCACAGGCCAGCAAGGCGAGAGCTTTCTCCGGTCGAGCAAAGGGCAGTGCCCAGAACACCCAGAGAGAGCTTTCCTGAAGCCAGTATGCAGACCAAGGCCAGCAAGGCAGGCAAGAGCTGGTCGAGCAAAGGGGCAGTGCCCAGAGCACCCTCAGAGAGCTCTCCTGACACCAATATGCAGATTGATATCTCCTCAGGTTCTATTCTGTTAAACTTTCTCAGTATGTATTAATTTTTTTAATTTTAGGGTTTTGATGGGATGCAAAATTCAAAAGTCTATTCTGTTAAACTTTCTCAGTATGTATTAATTTTTTAATTTTAGGGTTTTCGTGGGATGCAAGATTCAAAATTATATTCTGCTAAACTTTCTCAATATCTAGTAATTTTATAATTTTGGGGTTTTGGTGAGATGCAAGATTCAAAATTGTACTGTTGGATTATTTCTCACAGATTCCAATGGAACAACCTGTGCTGTCGTTCGGTATAAAAAAGGATTCCTTTTCGTTACTGATGGACGCCGCACAAAATCTCTAGAAAATGATGAAAGAAAAATCATCTGTGATGATGTCATAAAATTCAGGTATGTTTGCAAAGATCAGTTTGGACACGACATATGTTCTGTTTCGGCGGGATCGGTAAAAACGATAGGCCGTCTCTGGAAACGTGTGCTAGAGTGTGAATTGAGTCCTCGTACTGTTTCTGAAGTAGTAGATCTTGTTCAGAAGACACTGATGACAGTATACAGTCTGAAGGATTTCAAATCTGGTGAAACGTGTTCAATAATCATTGCTGGAGGACTTGGACAAGAGATTTTCCATGTTGGTGGTCGCTTAGCAAATATGCCTCATTATATAAGTTGCGCCTACCATGTCATAGGTTCAGGATCCCGATTAGTAAACGCTGCATTGGAAGTACTTTACTCTGATCAACATGATGAAGGGACACTTGTAAGGACTGTTGAGAAATCATATCTGTTTGCTAGTTTGCATGATCAATCTACAGGAGGGTTTATTAAATTTTATAATGTTCATGGTGAAATACATCAGCACCTATTCACTAAACACACTCTCGAATTATACAGAGACATATATGCAGATCATATTAAACCGGACGAGGTAGCGGTGCTTATCTTCTCTAAGGACTTTGATAAGAAGCGTATTCATAAGTGTTTCCACAGGGAGACAGTTTTGAGGCACGCTCATGTGTTGGGCTACGTGAGAGGCTATCAAGTGAATAGAGTGGTATTGAAAAGGACAGATTATGAGAACCACCTATGTACTGTTCGGTTTGTAAAAGAAAAGTTACTTAGCAGTGGATATGTACCTGAGTGTAAAGATTCCGTGATTAAAGATTTCAATTTTTCTTTTTACAAGCTGAGCCAAAAACATAGGAAAGGGCTTTACTATTTTACAGAGGTTTCTAGGGATATATTAAAGGATCTGGTTCCACAAGGGATGGTGGAAGGATTAATTGGGAGAAATGCATATCACCCTGGAAGAGAACAAAGTCTAGAGAATGTGGAAAGACGACTTGTGGTAAAAACTGGTCCTAAAGAATCCCCAGGGCTAGAGGATGTGCTGAATGAATTTCTTGGAGAAGAACCAATGCCAGAGGAAGTGCCAGGGGATGTTTATGATGAACTGGAAATCAATCAACTGGAGGTCCCTGCTCGTGCTGGTAATTATTATACACGCACACGCACACCTTTTTCTTTTGCCAATAATTGAGCTGTTTGATAAATTACTCTGCCACTAATGATTACTTAGTTCATATTTCTGCAATTTCAGCAAGGTGTTGTCATTATAGCAACTTAACTGTTGCATTGCCCTAAATCTGCAGCGAGCATTCTTTAATTTTGAGAGAAAAATATGTTTACAGCCCCACAAACTGCGCATTTGGTCACACTTTAGTCTTCTTATGACATAATATCAATGTGTCTTTATGTTCAGTGTCATGTGGTCGCAGTACCTGGTTTCATCATCACCTTTTCTTTTTTAAGGAAGGGATCTAGGCTACCATCTATATAAACATAAGTTAAGGTCCCTGTTACGCTAAACATACATGCACGCACGCACGCACTGTTAGGTTTTTCTAGCTCATGATAAGTTGTCCCAAGTCTATAAGGAATTATAGTCTTAGAGGATTAAATTGTTTTCCCAATTGGAGTTAGTTTCTCAATTGGAGTAGGATTCATAACTAGATTCCAATTAAGATTAATAATCCTTATTGAAGAAGACCTTTATTATGTCTATATAAAGGGGCTATTGTACTAGTTTTGAATTTAAGAAAACAATAAATTGTATACCACTCAAGGGATTAGAGTGAGAGAATATTGTAAAGTGTGTGCAAGAGAAAAGAAAAGAGATAGTGTATTTCTTGTTCTTTCAGGTTTTTCATCAAGTCCTAGTTCTAGAGATTTGGCAAGATTATTGGTTGTACTCATTATTGATATAGTGAAAGATTGTTGTTGCTGACCCGTGGACATAGGCACGTATTGTCGAACCACGTACATTCTTAGTGTTATTTATCTTGGTTATTTGTTTATGATTTTTGGAAAGAAAGAAAGAAAGAAAGAAAGAAAGAAAAATATGTTGTAAATCTAATTTGCAATTAATCTTCTGTAGGTTACTGAAGTCGATCTCTATCGTCATTTCCGTGATGTATCTGATGTTGGAGATGGAGATGTTACAGAAGTAAAGGAGTGCAACCATGAAGATAAACATTATGGGTATCTTGAATTCAGGACAAGAGATGCGGCATTATCGGCTATGGAGAAGGTGTTGAAAAACCCGCACACTAGACCTTGTTCTTTAATGTAACCAACGACAAAAGACTAAACTAGCAAATATTAGAAAACTTAGAACACACAAAGAATTATATTGGTTCGGTAGAACTTTTGCCTACATCCAGTTGTGATTTCTCTAGGTAGAGAAATCACCGCTCCTTTGTTTAATAATAGAGATTACAGAACTTTTGCAAACCCTAGAACTAAACTCAAAACTCTTGGTTGTCTGGCTGTTTTCTTTCTCTATAAAAATCAGTCTTGCCGCACCCTATTTATAGACATAGGGTTGGCTTACATGTCCCAAGGTTGATTGAATTCCTATTTCTAAGTGGATTAGGAAATTATACTTATCCAAATCCAAATAGACTTCTATAAATCCAAACCTAATTTGAATAAGGAAACTAAAATTCTTTCCTAATCCCTCTAGGACAAGAATCGGTATACCTCTAGGTTTCCTAAAACAATCCTAAACCAACTAGGACATATTTGACTAGCCAAAACCCTAACAATCTCCACCTTGGTGAGTTAAACCAAGTCTTGATCATTGCACCCTAGAGTATCTTTGAACCTTCTTGAAGCAACTCTGGAAATCTTCAAGAGTCTTCACCTTGGCAATCTTCTTCTTGCCTCATTGCACCTCAAGTGAGGAGGTGCTCCACTTTAATCAATCAACGAGATTGATCAAGTTCAAGCAATGCTTGAACTTCTTGGCCAGCACTATCTTTGTAAGGAAATATGCGGCATTGTCATCCGTATGAATCTTTTCAATCCAAATTTCCTTAGACTCCACCCAATCTCTAATTCTGTGATACCTTGCTTCAATGTGCTTTGATCTTCTAGAAAAAACCTGATTCTTTGCCAAGTGAATGGCACTTTGACTATCACACTTAAGCTTCACACAATCTTGAGTGATTCTCATTTGACTTACCAAGCCACTAAAGCCAAATCGCTTCCTTTCCAGCTGCGGCCAATGCAATATACTCTGCTTCTGTGGTCGACAAAGCTGTAATTGGTTGCAGTAGGGCCCTTTATTTGATTGGTCCTCCTGCGCATGTAAACACATAACCAGAAGTTAACCTTCTCTTGCCCAAGTCCCTTGCATAATTGGCATCCACATATCCTAACACCCCTGCACTTTCCTTTTGCCTCTCAAACATAACCCTTTGTTGCCAGAACCCTTCAAATAACACAAAATCCACTTTACTGCATCTCAATGTTGCTTTCTTGGATTTGCCATGTATCTGGAAACGACATTGATGGCTTGAGCTATGTCGGGACGTGTGCATACCATTGCATACATCAGGCAGCCCACGACATTAGCATAAGGCACCTTCTTCATTACTTGTTGCTCTTCCTTGAACGTAGGACATTGTTGCCCACTTAACTTGAAGTGAGCCGCCAAAGGAGTTGAAACTACCTTTGCTTCTTGCATGTTGAACTTCTCAAGAACCTTCTGAATATACTTGGCTTGTGATATCTAGATCCTTCCAGCGGTCCTATCTCTCTGAATTTCCATGCCAAGGATCTTCTGTGCAGCACCTAGATCCTTCATATCAAACTCCTCGCTCAACATCTTTTTCAAGTCTTGAATTCTAGACTTGTCTTGACAAGCAATTAGCATGTCATCCACATATAGCAATAGCAATATGATCATCCCATCTTGGAACACATGATAGTACACGCAACAGTCATATAAACATCTTCTAAAATTGATTTTCAGCATGAATGAATCAAACCTCTTGTACCACTGTTTTGGAGACTGATTGAGGCCATACAGGTTCTTTCTTAGCTGACATACTAGGTTCTCTTTCCCATATTCAACAAACCCTTCTGGTTGAGCCATGAAAATCGTCTCCTCTAGATCCCCATGAAGAAATGCTGTCTTCACATCCATCTGCAATCTCCATGTCATGCTGAGCTGCCATAGCTAAAAGTAATATGATAGAAGTATGCTTGACTACAGGTGAAAAGATCTCATCATAATCCACCCCTTCCTTTTGTGAGTACCCTTTAGCCACTAGCCTTACTTTGAATCTCACAGCATCTAGTTCATGTAGTCCTTTTCCTAAATACCCACTTGCATCCAACTAACTTTCTGTCTTTGGGCTTAGGAACCAACTCCCAAACAGAGTTCTTGTAAAGAGACTCCATTTCTACTGTCATAGCACTTATCCAACTATCTCGCTCATCACTTGCTATAGCTTCTCGATAAGTAGTTGGATCTCCTTGACTAATGTTAAGAGCATAATTAACTTCGTCTTGGTTAAACCCAAACCCGTCAGGTTTCTTCTTCTTCCGCTTAGGTTTGTCTAGTGCTATGCATCTCTGGAATGCAGGTGGATTGTTGGTTGGAGTTCGAACCCTTTGGGATGTCTGGCGGATTGGAGTGCTTTCAATCTGTCCTGTTTCTTGCTCCACCTGATTCCTAATTGGTGACCAATGTTGATTTACTCCACCTGAGCTTCTTCTTCTTCCTCAAAACCATCAAATTTGGCCTCTTGCTTGATTTACTCCACCTGAGCTTCTTCATCTGAACTGATTAATGGAATCTTTGTTGCTTCAATTTCAGCATCGTCCGTCTTCTCCCTACTACTCTCGACTTATTCAGAGGCATGGTTGTCTCATCAAAGACAACATCTCGACTGACAACCTTTTTCCTGTTGTTGAAATCCCAAAGCTTGAAACCCTTAACTCCTTTCTCAAAACCTAAGAATATGCAATGTGTAGACTTCGGTTTGAGTTTGGACCTTTCATCATTTGGAATATGTGCATAAGCACTACAACCGAACACCCTGAGCTTGAAATAGTCCATCGGCTTCTCAGACCATACCTCTTCTGCATTCTTAAAACCGAGAACTGTAGATGGTGACCTGTTAATCAAATAACTTGCATGATTAACAACCTTTGCCCAAAAACTATTAGGCAATCCTGCATAAAATTGCATGCTCCTCTCTCTCTCTCTATAAGAGTACGGTTCATCCTCTCAGCAGCTCCATTTTGTTGGGGATTCTTCTTTACTGTGAAGTGCCTTATGATGCCTTCCTGCTTGCAGTAATCGGTGAACTCATTACTTGTATATTCACCTCCATTGTCGCTTCTCAGGTACTTGATCTTTCTTGCAGTTTGATTCTCGGTTTCTGTTTTCCATTCCTTGAATTTTGCAAAAACCTCGGATTTCTGCTTCATGAAATAAACCCAAAGCTTCGTAGAAAAATAATCCATGAAAGTAACAAAATACCTGGCTCCACCATTTGATTTAGTTGGTGCAGGGCCCCAAACATCTGAGTGAATATAACTGAGTTGCTCCTTACTTCGGTTATATGCATTGCTACTTGCGAATGATACCTTTATTTGCTTTCCGAGAACACAGTATTCACAAAAGTCCAGTTTGCAAGATGACATGCCTTCCATCAGGCCTTGCTTGTGTAATTCTTGCAACCATTTCTGGCTTATGTGCCTGAGCCTATGATGCCAAAGTTCAGTCTTGTCTTCTACACTCTGATTTATAGAAACAGCTGCTCCCCTGACTATAGTGGTCCCAATTAACTTATACAACTTATTGGGTTGTAGGTCACCTTGCATTACTACTAGCGATCCTTTGGTTAACCCGAGTCTTCCTTTTTTAGACTTGTACCTATAACCGGCCTCATCTAAAGTACCCAAGGAAATCAAATTCTTTCTTAGTCTAGGGACATACCTGATGTTCCCCAAAGCTCGTATCATCCCATCAAACATTCTGATTCGAACAGTGTCGATTCCTCTTACAGGACATGAAGAATCATCGTTGCTGACTTCTTTGTAAGTATCGAACCATTCTCTTACTGCACACATATGAAAAGTGCATCCGGTGCCTTGGAGCCTGATGTTACAGAAAGAAGCTCCCCGTTACTCTCATGCTCGGTGACTACACTAGTTGAACCTGAGCTTCCTTCCATCTTGGCTTTCTTCTCTTTCCAAATCTTGTAGTTCCTCTTCCTACCTCTATTGCCGATTCTCTTCCTTTGTCTTTTCCCGCCCCCTCTCCTTGCCTTTGGCATAAAGGCCTTGAGAGCTTTCAGTTATATCATCTAGTTTAGCATATGACTGAAGAGCTTGAAATACGTCTTCAAGCTTCAGGGACTCTTTTCCAAACATTAGAGTTGTTCGAAAGTGCTTGAAAGACAAAGGTAGAGACCTCAGCAAAATGATAGCCATATCATCATCTTTGTAAGTTTCTTCGACCTTCTGAAGATTAGCTATGCAATTCTGGAACTTGCATACATGATCTTCAATATCACCTCCTCCTTCTAGTCGAAGCCCGAATAGTTCATCCTTTAGAAAAAGTTTATTGGACATGGGTTTGCCCATATAAACATTCTCCAACTTTTCCTATGCTTCCTGGGCAGTAGTTTTTTCAATGATGTGTGACCGAACTGATTTTGTGAGATGGATCTCGATGGAACTCTTGGCCTTCTTGAGAACCTTAGTCCATGCTGCTTCTGTCATGTTTTCCGGCTTCTCACCATCGAGTGCATTGTCCAAATCCTGCTGTATCAGTACGTTATTCATCATCCTTTGCCAATCCTTGAAGTCATCCTTGTCATCAAAGGGCTTTTACGCAGGTCCTTGATCTGCATTCATCTTCCCTTTTGAACACCTTGATCCTAGCTCTGATACCAATTGTTGAAAAACCCGCACACTAGACCTTGTTCTTTAATGTAACCAACAACAATAGACTAAACTAGCAAATATTAGAAAACTTAGAAACACACCAAGAATTATACTGGTTCGGCATAACTTTTGCCTACATCCAGTTGTGATTTCTCTACCGCTCATTTGATTAATAATAGAGATTACAGAACTTTTGCAAACCTTAGAACTAATCTCAAAACTCTTGGCTGTCTGGATGTTTTCTTTCTCTATACAAATCAGTCTTGCCGCACCCTATTTATAGACATAGGGTTGGCTTACATGTCCCAAGGCTGATTGAATTCCTATTTCCAAGTGGATTAGGAAATTACACTTGTCCAAATCCAAATAGACTTCTAGAAATCCAAACCTAAATTGAATAAGGAAACTGAAATTCTTTCCTAATCCCTCTAGGACAAGAATCGGTATACCTCTAGGTTTCCTAAAACAATCCTAAACCAACTAGGACATATTTGACGAGCCAAAATCCTAACAGAAGGGCATCATACTATTCTGTGTGTCAAGAAAATCAAGGTACATAGAGTCTGGTTGGAGATTATAGTTAACGGTCTAGCTGCTTGTTTTTATTCATAGTATGCCGGGACTAGATTATAATTAATTTTCGAGTGAAGCAAACACATACAAATTATAATTCAAAGACAGTTATAGCCCGTAGCTAGCAGTGCATGCAAAGACAGTCATTATATATTTTCACACGATGATACGTGGAAATAACTTTGTAACTGATCTGATCGTCCAATATTAATCCCTTTTTTTTTCCTTTTTTTTTTCTTTCTGTTGCAGTGCTACCCTACCTCATTAGTGAAGGAAGATGTGGAGATTTATAATTCCCTCCGCCTCCATGAAGTTGAGGAGCAGCAGCAGCTTACATGCCAGCCAGAGGCCCGCAATTTAGTATTTAGGAGGACGTCTAGTTTGAAGTTAATTTCCATGTGTTGTAGTCTTTAAATGGTTAGATTGTATCGAATATCTATCAGTAATCATGTCCTGACTGACTGCGTGCATTAATGAATGATTATAATTTCGGAGCTTTCAGTGCAGGGCTGTTAATATTTTTTCCTGAACTCTTGATTATTCTAACGATCCAGGGCAGGGCAGTGCAGGTGAGGGCCGATCCGCACATAAATTCTTGTACTAGACAGTGTTTACTTGAGTAACTAATCTACTTGACAGTGACAGGAAGCTAACCAGGAATCCAACAGCTTGATTTTTCATCCATGATAAAATAATGTTCCCACCCCCTGATTTTTCAGCCACGAACCGAACAGCAGCATCTATGGCTTGTCCTACTGGGAAGCATCCAGGTCAGTTAAAAGATGATGTAACATCACCTGGTGGAACTACCATTGCTGGCGTCCATGAGTTGGAGAAGGGTGGATTTCGTGGAATATTGATGACTGCAGTCCTCGCTGCTGCCGAGCGCAGCCAAGAATTTTCTCAGAGCTAGGCATAGATAGTGACTTTCATATTTCAACACATATTCATGACATTGCAATGAAATCCAATTTTTGTTCTCTTCCGTAGCTTAGGGGATAAACAAATCATTTTCAGAGAATATTATTAGACTGCATTCTTCTGAATTGAAGGTTGATTGAATTACAGGTAAATTTACCATCGCACCAGTGTCTGGAGGCTCATATTCTCCTGTCAAACCTCAAGTTGGTATTTCTACTTTCCATTATCTCAGATATGTTTGAAAATTTACTGTTTTATTTTGGTTTTGTTCTTATTTGCCGAATGATTGAAATTCTGTGTGTTGATTGAAAGATATATGGGGCATGAATGATTAGGTGGTGATTTTGTGGTTGTTTACTAGACAATGATATCGTTGCGGTTTTAATTTCGTGCAGTTAAAATGTAGTTTCAGTGGAGGCCGCTTCTTTCAAGAAAGAAACTGCTTGTTTCAGTTGTTGCTGGAGTCAAATTGAAAGATCTGCAGGTCTTTCACTTACAACTCTTCTTACTTTTATCCTGATTGACTCTATGAATTGCCAAAAACCCTGTATTTCATTTTTGAACCTCTCGTTTCCAATTAATGTGTTTATTTTGATTGTTTTCTATTCCCTTTTTGTGGAAAATCATGTACTGAATCTGTTACATGCGTCAACTGATTCAATTGTTGTACGCTGTGTAGCCAAAAGTTTTTAAATAAGCTCTATTCTTAAGTGCTACGTAAGAGTAGATTCACTTGGCTGTGGGGCACAAACAAGAAGAAAACAACGAGAAAATATGCAATGCAAAAAGTAGCTAAGAGTTGGGAGTGAATGGCTTGTTTACACATTATCGCAGCCACATTTGGCTAGCCGCAGTCCACAGAATTAGCTCCCCTTCTCTCTACTATTCCACAGTGGCCAACCCTCTTTCACTTCTCTGCCCTTTTGCGATTCTATAGAGTGAATATGAGCGGCGGGGTCAGAGAGTGGGGTTGCGGAATGACAGAGAGTAGGAAGTTTTTACTTTGTGCAAAGGGGGAAGGGAGGACGAAGAGCTGGGCTGGGATAGATAATGTAAGTCTTTCATGCATATGTAATCTTTTTGATTCGTAGTTCTTTCTCTGCCCTCTGGATCTTAATAGAAGTTGACAGCAAACGAGGACAGTTTTTTCCCCAAGTGCGTTGAGGGTCACCCTTTTATTTATTTGTCTAAATCCGTAGGTGAATAAATATATTTTTCTGTTCAACCTTTGATTTCTGCAGTGTCAAGTGAATGGATTATACGATGCTACTGTTTACCAAATTTTAGTCATAGAAAAGAAAGTAGGACTGGCTTTTCTATAGTTGGTAATTTTTCCCAGGTATTCTAGACATTATGACTGAAAATAAATATTGAAGTTTGAGAGATGTTGACGAGGCATTCATCTCTTTGCACATAGTGAATCAATTGCCAGACTTATAACAGTTAGCCACTCCCAAGTTTATCCCCTTTTTTCACCCTTCAAGTTTCTTATCCTTTTAGTTCCCGAAAATCTAGAGCCATTTTAGTAATTTGGGGTTACGAGTTTTATGATTTCAGGAACAGAATAATTTGTTTTGGCCCGTGCATGTTGAAGTAATTATTAGGGGTGGAATTTTTTCCCGAAAATCCCGAACCGTCCCGATCCCGTCCCGAAATTTGATCGAAAAATTCCCGAAACATTTGGTACTTGAAACCGAACCCGTCCCGAAAGTTTTGGGTTGGGATTCGGCTACAGCTTTGAAAGTTTTCGGTAATCCCGAACCGAACCGATTATTATATATATATTTATTTATTTTTAACTTTTAATTAGAAATTACTTGAACCGTTGGATTTGTTAAAATCTAATCCAACCGTCCATTAGTTAGGTCATTTTATTAGGTTGGTGATCAGATCTCTCGTACTCACTCACTCTCGGTCTCTCCGCTCCGCTCTCGCTCACTCTCTGCGCTCCGCTGTCACTCACTCTTTCCGCTCTCTCTTGCTCACAGTCTCAGTCTCCCTCACACGCACTCTCACAAACAGTCTCGCCGCCCGTGCTCCCGCCGCTCTACTCCTCCGTCGAATCCACGCTGCTCCTCATCCTCCACGACTCACGTAGACACAGTAAGGAACCAATTGAGTCCCAAAATCCAGGTTAGGGTTTTTAATTTTCACTGGGGTTTTGTCCTTTCTCTCTTTAACTCTTCAGACAGCATTTCACAGAAACCCAATTAAACATATGAAAATATACAAGCAACAACCTGTAAAATTTAACATAAAAATTAACATAAAAATTGCTCACACAGAGAGAGAGAGAGAGAGTTCTTACATGAGGTGCTGCAATTGCTTGAGAGAGTTCTTACATGTGGCTTTGTAGCTAGTGTGGATTGTGACCTACTTATTTGTGTGTTTAGATACGCAAGCTAAGTGTATCTGTTTGAGATTTTTATTTTATTTTATTTTGCTGTCATAATGTGCAGGACAATCCCAATTTCGAGGGTGAAACATGTAGGATATGCATGAATGCAATAATCGACAGGGGTGTTCTCGATTGCTGCCAGCATTGGTATGTGCTCTAGTGTGGCTTTGTGTGTGTGTGAGAGAGAGAGAGGAATTTTATTTTATGACATGGGTTCATCTTGGGGTTTTCAGGTTCTGTTTCTCATGCATTGACAATTGGGCTACCATTACAAACCTCTGCCCGCTTTGCCAGAATGAATTTCAAATGATCACATGTGTTCCGGTGAGTGATGCAAATAAACAGTTATCGCTTTAGTATTATTTCTGTTATGATTGCTATGGATTATAGAATGGTATTAATGTACAACTAGTTTAAAGCACAGTTGTTACTTTGATTTCTTAACTATCTGTTTTCAATAGTTTTCTTTTTGTTGCAAACAGAATTTTTATTTTGAAGTTTTCTCAAAATAGCGATTTGATGCTGGTTTGAAGTGGCACTAAATCATAAGAGTTTGATTTGTATGTGAAGGTATACGATACTATTGGGAGCCGCAAAGCGGACGAGGACTCAACTTATAGGTACTTTCATAATTATGGATAATGTGTTTAAGTCTATTGGTGAGGGTTCTTTATTCACATTTATATGCGGCACATGTTCCCAATTTGGAAGTTTGGTTTGTAAAACTTAACTTATTTCATTTTGGTTGCATGCACTTTTAATTAAATAGTTTGGTAGACAAATACAATTGTGAACTTAAGCTTAACTTGTTAGTTGCTTCCTTTGTATGAAAATTGAAACATGTGGTATTGTGATATTCATATTGTGGTGAAATTTCTTCTCAAAAAATATTGTGGTGAAATTGAAACAGGTGGGCTGGGCAGTGGCTGTGTAACCTTAATATTTTTTTTTTGGCAGTGGCTGGCTGCAATCTTAAAAGCACAACATTTTGGGCTTCAAGGCCCAATCCCGAAGTATCCCAAAAATCCCGAAACACTTTCGGGAATCCCGAATTTCGGGAAATGCACATATTCGGTTTGGTTTCGGGATATAAAAGCCCATTCTGAAATGTTTTGGTTTGGAATTCGGGAAAGGAGTTTCGGTTCGGGATCCCGACCCGAACCACCCCTAGTAATTATTGGAGTGCATGCTTTTAATACCACCGGGGAGGCATGGTCCGGGAAATGACTTTTGAGGATCTAATTGCTTTTGTTCTGCTCGTACGAGTACATTCTTTATTTATTTATTTTTCCCCTTTTCTGTCTTTCGTGCATTTTGTTCAATTTTCTACTTTAATACTTTTGAGCTGTTAATCTTACTTAATTAAAATAAAAAGTTGAGTCCATGGCCTCCAGTTTTTCATCTATTTTTTTCAACAAAATTATTCCATCCTTTTCAGGAATGGGCCGGTCACAGCCCATTTATTAGGGTAATGCCAAACACTCCTTCAGCTGTCGGTGCAGCAGCCTCAGGTACTTATGTTATCCTTTTAGTATTTTACTAAAAATTAGGCCTGTGCGTTGTTGCAGGAACTAGCTATTTCAAATGTAATCGGATGGATAAAACACATTTAAGTTGAATAAATTCAAAACAATTATGAACAAATAGAGGAATACATAAGTGAATGAGGTCGATAAGATAAACAGTTTTGTTTTTATACACATTTAAGTGAGTTGGCATATAAACATATTGCACAATGAGTGGGAAGAAACTGCATGTGTTTGATTAGAAAGAGATGGTTTCGAAAAAATATTTGTTTGCTTAAGAAACAGAAGAAACACATATAACATGCGTCCTGGCAGTGTAGGTAGCTAGTTCAACAACAAATTTAAAACATAAAGTGTTGAGGACTTGTTCAAGTAGCTAATTTTAGAACCACAACTGTTCAAAAAAAAAAAAAAACAGAAATATCTGTTTTCATATTAAACTGAAGAAACAGAAGCAAGCTGCAGTTTACACATATTTTGCCCCTGCAATTAAGATGGCAAAATATATGCTCTACAACCTACATACCTCACTTAGCAGTTAGCAAAACACAGGAAAAGTGGTGTTTGAGCAAGTAAGTCGTCAACCATAGATGTTAAAACAAAAAAAATATGCAGTATGGTGTGCAGCATTCGATCACTGAGGGCATGGCTGTTCACTTTTTTGGGACCGGACATCTTCGACACTACAGCAAAAAACATCAATCATAATGTAACAAAGGCAACCATTATGAATGCTATTCAAGCATGCGTGCAAAAAACAAATTGTAATTTACGTATCTTTATTTTTTTGGGCTGAGTTTTTGTCCTGAGGGTGGCAATTGGAACTTTGTCGACAAGTTCAATCTTGGAAACAACCAGATTGTGGAATTTTGCAGAAATTATGACAACATTTGTTGTGGTTTTTTGCTCGGTGCGAGGTTTTTGCTTTGAATGAAGCCAAAATTGATAAGCGTAAAGATAAAAGTGATAGTTATGGAAAAGAGTGCGAAAGAGCGGTTGACACCTTTTCATGATTACAAACATATAACCAAGAGAAGCAAGAGCGGTTAAATAAGATTGATAGATAAGAGCATTACTCGGAAGGAAAAGTTTACATGACAGATGTGTTTGGTTGATCAAGGAACAAGGTTCTTTTTGAAGTCCTAGCAGCTACAATTGATCGAGGTTGTTGATCTAACAGTTGGGAAGGCATAATGGGGCGGGAGTGACATGATTGATAATTATTTTTGCTATGGTAGAAGCAGGCGTTTGTGGTTTGATTGAGGGGATTGTTGGCTCGGACAATGGCTTATCTTCAAGCAATCCGTGAACGATAAAATCTATCTCTTTGAAGTTGCTGTTCTGGTTTCCAAAAGAGACTCGAAATGTTTTTGATTGGCCTACTAAATTTGCAAGAATTGGTGGTGCCACAAAAGGATCCTCATATCCTTCTTGCATCACCAAAGTGTGGCAAGAAACACGAAGTATTTTTTCGGCGTGTCTTCCTATCATGAGGAAATTGTGTTGATTCGTGTTATCTTCCACAATAACATCAATTTTGAACCAGTGCAAGAGAAGGATATTCTTATGTTTGACAACCATCACTACTAATATCAACTTTGTGAGCAATCTAGAAAATTCATTAGAATTGTCGTAATGTAGGGTATGTATGAATAGCATGGACATAAAGACACGTACATCATTTAGATGGATATCACTCAACATGAATAAGTTGTGCAACTAAAGAGTGTTTATTGAAAAGTTTTAGCTGACGAAATCTGTTACAACAAAGTACACAACATTTGTTGCCTAGTTTTATAAAACCAAAGCAGAAACGGAAACAATGCTTCTCAAAGCCTGCAACGTAAACTCCACAGTTGCAAGGGTCAAACAACAGTCAAAGTGTAGTGGGGATGGAGACTACCCCAAAGTTAATTGCATGCATGCATTGAGACTGTGAACCAAAGTTCAATTAAGGCATCATATTTATTGCAAAAGCATATACCAGCTAGATAAATATTTGTGTTAGCGATTTTACATAAAAGTGAATTGGAGATACCATTTGACATACAAAAATTAACGATTTATAAACATAAAAACTGTAGTTTCATGACACATTCACAGTATTTTTATAAAGTTGAAAGAGATATGTAACAGTAGGTTTGTCACATGTTGAAATTTGTTGCTGCATAGAATATTATAAGCATAAAAACATTATTTTGTATGAATTTCATAACCATTAGAAAAAAAAAATGGAGTCGGCAAATTAGTACAATGAATGGATGAAAAACAAATGCGAAAGAATATTACCATGGTTTAGGTAATTTATTTAGTAAACCATGTTCATTGCACTCAAATGATCCAGATGTCTTTTTTACAGCTTTATGGCAGGATGGACAGGACTTGTACCACCATCCCTTGCCTAAATCAAATCCAACAACAGTCACTTGGCATGCGAAACTTTCATTCTGTTATCGTATCACAGGTTTTCAAATCATTAAACATATATAATCGTCACTTCGCAAAGATGGAGCATAAGCAAATAGAGAAAGAAATCAAGAAGCAACCAAGGTAGATGCAACAATTTTTTTCTTGTAAAAAAGAAGAGGTAACTTCTATTAACATGTTGATGACGAGAGACTAATCTCGTGCAATGTAGGATCAAGTAAAAGTAACTGGTCGATTGTTTTTTACTTAGAATTAGCGCCGATGGTACGACTTGTATACATGTCAGCTGAGGTGGGCAACATCCGAAGAGGTGATCTCAGATGCTCAAACCTATTTTGCGTATGTTTAGGGTGAGAAAGATGAAACGAATATATAAAAATGTAAACGTTATTAAAGAATGGTTGTGTATTTACTTGCGTTTATATTCAGAGAGTTGTGGAATATTTGGATTGAAAAAATAAACAGTTGATCCTGTGGTTCCAAGAACAAGCTTTCCTATTGATAAAAGAAAATGATCAATAAGGTGAAACTTTAAGCAGCTAAATAAAGCATGTTGAGGTATAACCTAGGTATTGCTTCACTTTGAGATTTGTCAAAGCAATAAAGATGGGAGGTGGCAACGATTGATATCCACTGTCTTCAAAATTGGTGGCAATCTCTTCCCATAAGGTCACCCTAACAGTTTCACCCCTGTAATTTATTAAAAAATTGGCAGTTAGCTATATGAGTCAGTACAGTGCGATATGTAAAAATAATAATCAGAATTTAATGTAGACTTCACCTAATATTTTGTAGGTTAAGATTTATCTTTTTTTGCAATTCTTGTGCATTGGATAGTCAGCTCTTCAATCGGCTGCACAACCGTCAAGCAACCAAATATATCTACAGATGATATTCATCAGCGATAATCAGTGTGCACAGAAGGCAATAAAAAAACTAAAATGATTGTCTCAGTTTATGAAGCAGTGCTTAAAACAAAATTTGTTACCTATAAGTTCAACATCCCTATCGATTATTTCATAAAGCTGTTCAAATTTAATCAAATTGAACCACTGCATCGGAATCTCCTGCGTTGTTTTTTGAACTTGAATGATTGTGGTCTTCTTGTTAAACTCAATGATCGCATCATGAGGTACAACCTTGTTTGATGCCCTGTTATGAACAACACGGTATTTGTTGATCTTGTACACATCACCGACCCTCAGATGGTCCAAAAAATATTGAATATCTCGAGCATTTGTTGTTACATGAATCGCATCCCCCTTTCAGAAAAAGGAAACCAAAATAAGACAATACTAAATGAGCAGGAAAGATTTAGCACAGACGGTGATACAACCACGCAAATAGTTAAGATAGGATGATTGTTTGTACAGAGATAGCATGTAAGATCACATGCAAGATAATAACGAAGATTGTTTTAAGCAAGATACCTGCATCCATCAAATCAACATTGTAAAAAGATATTCAGTTTAATTTGCACAAGTGCAAAAAAAAAAAAAAAAAAAAAGAAGGAATAGAACGGTTGATAGTTGATAATCTGATGGCACGTGTTTGTGCTGCACTTTGATTATTTGTTTTTAAGAAAGAAATTGATCCCAAAGCATGCTATTACATGGAGAAAATGGAGTGTTTATTTGTTGTTCACACTACTCAATGATTGCTACAAAAACGAAAAAATTCAAGAAAACCAAGAATGGAACAGCAATGATGTGCTTCTTATAAAAATAGATACAAATAGCTAATGATCGCTATAAATATACAAATTAAATTTGAATACGGATGGGGAGGTAAAGACATAAATGGCTAGTGAAGAAAGTTACGAAGGATTTAAATTGTAATGACAATAAATCACATTGATGAGATAACAACCCTGAATTAAAACATATGCAATTTTAAAACGATTTTTTAAAATTAATATCTGATCAGATTGTATAGCAGCTTAAAGCCTCATTAAATAAAGAAAAAAAATGCAGAGTGACAGAATACAACAACATAATCAATCAAGCCGATGTATATTTCATTCAAATTGTTGCATATTGCAATCAAGGCTGATTAACAACAGAAATTCAACGATGTGTCAAAAGGTGTAAGAATCAGACCTGTTTATCAACGATAACATAGTCAAAACCTATAGGTTGAGGATCATCTTCGATGCTCTTTGCGACCCACATCCTACAAACTCTAATCTGGAGTCTGCTCCTTGGTTGGTAGGGCTTCAGAAAACGAACCGGCGTCAGGTCCATCAATCTAGAGAAAATAAAATTTAAAAGCAAATTAAATTCAACATCAAATAAGGTAATTCATTAAAGAATAGCTGACCCATATTTCAAAAAATAAACAAAAGCACATAATGTTAATATAAATGTATACTGTCATGCAAATGTTTCAAAACATCTTTATAAACGATGTTTTTTGTATAACCGTGAGGCATGTCAGTATCGTGAGCAATAACAATTTTGAGACCTTTTTCTGAGGTGCTCCTGACAGTACATTGGAACAAAACATTCAAACTGATCTACAGAACCTGCAGCGATGGAAACAATAGCGCGCCTTAGATCGAAACTCAATTGATGTATTTGACAACCACTACCTTTAGATCAGCACTTGTGGATTAACAAATTCCTTTGATTGGATTTAAATTTTCAAAAGGTGTGCGTCAATGGGGTACACATTTTAGGTACCATTGGGTCTCATTGCCCAAATAAACAACTCAAAGTCTTGACGTATGACTCTTAGGCCTAGTCAAAAGATCTTATTCCATATCCAGATGGGTTTTCTTCAAAAACCAATCTCTCAGTTATCCTTTTCTTTTCTTCTTTCAAAAGTCAAATCAAGCCAGAGTTTCGCAGATAATTTATACCCAGAAAAATAAAAAGGAAAATTCATGTGTTTCATAACTGAACATCGGGTCGATGTTGAACCTTTAAAATCTGTAAACCCAGCGAATCAAATGAGCAAAGAAAAAGCAATGGAAATCCTACTGTTTTGAATTCATTTTTTCTGTTTGCTAATCTAAAGATGAAGGGAAAGTTTTCATAATTTCATAAAGATGAAGGGAATGTTGGAGGAAGCTGTTTTAGAAGGGAAAGGAAGTTCTTCCAAAGTAAGATTCTAGTTATTACTTATTCTAAAGTAGGGGGGGAGGGCATGCACTATTCACCTTTGTTTTGATTTTGCTTTATTTACAACAATACCAGCCGAATGTGGCTGGGTTGGGGGGTGATTCTCAAAAATTCAGAGGGTGATTTTGTCTTTTGAGGTCAATTCCTCCCCCCTCGATTTTGCTTTATTTACAACACAACCGTGTGATTTGGGGCTGGGTTGGAACGTAGTTATTAAATGTTAGGAGGGTAATTTTGTCCTGTATGCTTGAGACGGATTGGGGTGGGTTTGGGTATGCTGTCATTCAGTGAGGGATTCGGGGATGGGAGGCCATGCCTCCGATAGAGAGAGAGAGACAGAGCGAGAGAGAGGGAGAGGGAGGAGTGGGGATGTCAGTGCCATTGCTGCAGATCCTCGATTTCATGAGTGGGAGAGGGGGGACAACCAGAGAAAAGTATGGGGGTACTCCGATCTCTCTCTCTCTCTCCTCCGTTTCTCTCTCTTAATTTCCTTTTGGTTTTGGAAATCTCTGACCTTTTGGGTGAGTGAGAGATTATTGATGATGAGAAAAGTATGGAGGTCTGACCTTTTGGTTTGGGTATGCTTTCATTCCTCAATTTTCTCCATCCGAGCAATGAAAAATCGAACTGGGTTTTCAGATTATTGATGCACAGGGATTCACGGACAGAGAAGGGAGAGAGAGAGAGTTGATTGAGGGAGTTGGTGAGTATGGGCTTGCACAGAGGGAAGATCAAAACAAACGTGAAAAGCGCCTGCCCTCCCTCCTAAGTGGGAAATGGCGAGCGCAGTGGACCCAATTTCATGGCAGGTTGGTTTAAAGCAATTCCAAAATTTGGGATCGTTTCGTATATTTTTAGGTTTTTCAATTTTTCTGATTCATTATATTTTAATTTTTATTGAATTCAGGTAACCATCTTCAATTTTTCGGTTTGATTTAAAGGAATTTTTTAGGCAGAAAAGCTATGGCTTTCCGGTGAGTTCTTCGGGTTGTACATCCGGGTGGCTTTAATTTGTTTAAATTTGGGGCTTTTGTGATTTGGGACTTATAAATGGTGAAATTTACGTTTTTCTAATTTCAATTCCCACTCAGAAGTTTGTACTGCCTCATCATTAGAACTGTTTCTTTCTGCTCTTCTTCTCGAAACAAGGTCGCAGATCCACAGGCCATCAAGGTATGTCATTTAATTATATATTGTATATGTATGTATATTTTCTTTGAGTTCAAATATATTTGTTTTTTTTGTGATATATTGCCGATGCCAAAATATCATATTTACAAGGACAAAGATAGCAAGGTTCTAAATCAAATTTGTATCCTGGTTCTGCTGCTAGGTTCACTATCAGTAAAAGGCACATGAAATACGGTATTGATTTCAGAGCCTTTGATTTCTCAGATTGTCTTTGTATATCGAATGTCATCTTAATTTAATTGTAGTTAATTTGTCAAAGTGTGTTGTTGTTTGGCTTTTTCAAATGGCAGTCTTAGTATTTACCCAGTATTTTTCAGTAATTGAATTCTTCAATTGGATTTTTCTCTTCCAGGGGCTCCCTAACTCATCTTTTAATAAAATCGCCCACCTGGTCTTTGTCAAACACTTCAATTAGTTTCAATTTGTGATTAATCCTTTTATTAAATTTAAGTTTGATTCTATCAAAAAATATTTATACTTTATGTGCAAATACATATATGATACTGTCTGTATAGATTGTATAATGTTGGTAAGAATATTGAGTGTTTTTTGTGTGCGTACAGAATAGACAATGTGTTGTTCAGGAATACGAAACATGAGACGTGGTTTACTTCATATGGCATAGACAGGTTAGTTTGATTGTAATTGCTTTTTTCGTTTCATTGTAGTTGTTTTTGTGATTTTGGGTTTGTAGGTTTTTCAGATTTTGGGTGTTTGTTTGTAGGTTGCAAAACCCTCTGTTCTCAAGGTAAGTAATTTAAAATTCTGGGCTTATTCTATTGAAAGTTTCAATTTATAGTTTAGTTTTTTTTTTTTTATAATTGGAGTTGAGTTTGGTATTTTCTTTGTGTTTGATTATATATTGAAATTGGAGTTTCAGAGGATTTCTGTTTCATAGTTTAGTTTAGGTTTTTTTTTTTAATCAGAGTTCAGTTTGGTATATTGTTTGTGTTTGATTATATTGAATTCAGATTTCAGTGGACTTATGTTTGGGCTTGATATTTTCCTACAGGTCGTGATTGAGGGGAGTTTGAAATGGCAATTGGAATTAAGGTCATAATACATAGTAAGTGTTTGGTTTTTTCTTCTACTACAAAGTAGAAGTTGAAAAGTCCTGTTTTTTATTTTACTCATCTTTCGAGATAGTATTACGGAATATATGATGTTTTTTTTTTTTTCTATTGCAAAGTGGCGATTTCAATGCCACAACAAGATATGGCTTTTGAGCCAATTTACTGGTATTGCCAACCAGAAGCTAATGGAGTGGGCAGCCAAGATATGGCTTTCCTCTATTTGTATATGTTTTTGGATCCAGCCTTTGATTGAAAATATCATCAGATATAAAAGTCCCCATATTTAATTTTATTTCTGCTGCAAAGTGGCAATATCAATGCCACCACAAGATATAGCTTTTGAGCCAATATGCTGGTATTGCCAATAGAAGCTAATGGAGTGGGCAACCAAGATATGGTTTCCTGCATTTGTATATATTTGTGGATCAAGTGTTTTACTGAAAAACTTAATAAGATATAAGTTTCCTAATTGCGTTGCGTTCTGTACAGTGATTCATTTTTTGTAAACTCTTTTGTGATGAGCAAAATGTAAAAATTAACAAAAGATTGACTATAGAAAACTGACAAAAGAGTTGACCTAATGAATGTAATTTGACAGCCATGGACATTGTGAAGTATAGATGAATTCGATTACAGCTTCCCTTTACATTTCTAGATGGAATGCCATTGAAAGTAATCATTCTCACATTCATATGAATAAATAATGTTTCACATGTTATGCCTGGTACACAAGTTTCCAACACTGAGTCCTAAGTATAAGAAGTGATAAGCTGTCAAGGTTCTTATTTCTTCACTTATCTGACTTCTTGCATATCGCTTAACACCTAAACCCGTATTATCTCATCTACAACGTGTACATTACATTTTGTTTGTGCTTAATGAAATGTTGAATAATGCTCAAATGCATGGTAAGTTTATATGAATTTACTTTTAACACTCAGGTCATTTGCAACCAAGTATTCATATTCAACTTATGCGTGGTTTACTCTTCTTCAGCCTATTTTTTCACACTTTCAGTCATCAGTAGGTGGGCTAAGGAATTCCCACATGTAGCATTGTAAGATGATCTTCTGTTCAGTTTTAATAAATTATTTGTCAATCATTTTAGTTTTTAATAATTTTGATATTATTTCTTATTGTGCCTCAACATTAGTTGACATAAGATTTGTTTCTTGATGAAAGAATTGCAAAAGTGTCTGATGGTGTTTCTGTGATGCAGGTAAGTTTCTAAATACATGCAGACAATGTGGATTATTATGTATGATCAATGGTAATTCATTTGTTTAATTTTTTTTCTTAAATGTCCCAAGCTTTGATCACAAATTGAGATAGAACTGAAAGAAAATAAACTAAGAGTTGAAGACGCTCTGAGGAAATTGGCCTTTCCTGGTCCGTTTTGCGATCACAGATACTCACGCCTAAATTCTCTATCGGTTTCATCGGTACTCTATCCCTCCCTTTCTATATCAATCTCCAAATATATACGTTTCTAAGATATACATATGTATACAAATTAGCTAGATTTTGTTTTGATTGATTTGGGGCTGTCCAAATTTTGCAGAGGACATGAAGACTAGGTTAATGAGAAGGTTTGTATCTCTCTTTTTGTATATCCATGGAAACCAATACTTGGGTTTGATTAGTTACTACAGGTGTTGAATTCTTTTAATTTCCTTTTGTTTTACAATCTACAATTTACTGTAAAGTTGAATATTTGGTTGGTTTATGTTTTAGAATCCATAATATACTGTGATTCTTTATTGTTTTTAATTTCATTTGTGTTAGATTTTGGAATTTACTGCAAAACTAAATTTTATTGTTTTTTCGCTTGGTGCCTATTTCGAGCCAGACCGTGTGAGCACCCAAATTGTTGTCCGTACCTCGGTTAAGGTCTATATTTACTTTTTAATGCCGAGTATTAGTCAAAATAAGAAGTTTGTGTTTGTTATATTCATGTGCAGTCATAATACATAGTAATTGTTTGTTATATCAGTTTTTGCGGTTATTGAATTCTGACTTTTGTTTGGTTTTTTATTATATTGGAGTAGAATTTTGTTTTTGTGTGTGAGTTTGATTATATTGAAATCAGAGTTTTGTTTTGGACTTTCTTTTGGGTTTATTTATAATTTTCTATGCTAATTAAATTTGATAACCCCAGCATCAATTAATTATGGCTAGGTTTGACAAGCAAATTTGATAACCCCAGCATCGATTATTGGTTGGGTTTGACAAGCGAGGGAGGGAGGGAGGGAAATCGAGGTTTGTCATTTAAAATTACCGGTTAGGTTTGCAGTATCCAGTGTGTACATAAATGCAATAAAAATCAGATAATGTGGTGCTCACTACTTTTAGGCACCACAATTTCTAAATTAATGGTACCTGTACTTTCAGTTCTGTATCACATTCCATTTTAATTGATCATAAATGCAATGAAAATCATATAGTGTGGTGCTCACTGTTTGTCATGTATTTTCTGATCAAATATTGCCTGTGGTATTCACTGTATCCTTACCTGTGGTGCTCTTTGTCATGTTTTTTTCTGTTCAAATTTCGTTACATTTGGTTTAATTTGGTTTTGGTTTCAACTTCAGGAGTTAAAAACACTTTTTAGGGTTGTAAATAGATTTCCACATGTATGTAATTAATATTGTTTTAATGGTTCGGGGAGTATGGAGAATATATTTCAAAATTAAAATTCAATGGTAGTTTATTGGTGTAAATTATGTTACTCAAATCATTTTTCTGTCAATTTTTGCAGTGCCTTTTATTTTTTTATAGCTTAGATAAAGCTCAAGGCTTACAACTACGTTCACTATTTATTCTGTTTGATGCATTTTTAGTCTTTGTAGCTGATGGAATTACATCATTTCCAAAGTTGCAGATAAGGATTACAAGGTTTTTTCTGTTATCTGTTATTCATTGGTTGAGTTTGTTTGCAGCTGAAAATGCTATCTCAGTTAAGACTTAAGAAGAACAACATATTTACAATATATGTTCAAGAATGTGTGGTTGGTTGTTTATAATGTTATCATTTCTTATCAATTTAAAAACTGTGGTCTGTATTTTTTAGTATTGTTTTAGCATTTTGGCCTGATGGGTTTTCTTGCACCTAATTGCAAACCTTTCATTTCCTCATGATTTAGTAATTCACTAAGTATTGATGCTTAAACATAGACTTTAATCAATTTTTTTCCAACATGTTCATATGGGTGAAGATTAGAAATATGCCGATTGTTCTCCATTTAACTTTGGTAGTCTTTTAAACATAATTATTCATGCAATTTGTAATCGCGCAGCAGAAAAATGCGGTGTTCATTCTACTCTTACATTTATTGTTTTGCTCTCTGTGGTTGTGGGTTAATCTGTTGGTATAACTTAAAAGCAAATTGAAAAACCTTGACAATGTCTATTGCTTTAACTTAGAAGGAAATTAAGAAACTATGGTTATTTGTTTCTCGACTTCTTAATTGGTGATTAATTTGTGGACATTTAAATTTAAATTTGTGTGTATTAAACTTGGGCACAATTTTGTCTATTATAGCTGTGAAAAAAGGAAGATGGATTTTTTTTTGTTTACTGAGAAAAAGGGGGAAGATATAGATATAGCTGAAATTATATTAACAAATAGGGATGGTGGATTGTAAAGTTGCATAAGTTAGGGTGTTCCGTTGTCCATTACAAAGTATATTTTGTTCAGTGACAGTGAGTTTATGTCAAAAATTAAATATGAACAAAATAAGTTGCTTGATATGATGATTTGTTTGGTGGAAAAAAAAATTCGAATTTGATCCTGTTCTTATACTTTGTTTGTTTTGTTATTCATGGTTGTGCAATTGCAAATATAATGTATTGTTATAACTCTAGAAAAAAAAATTGAGGAGATTTCGTGATTTACTTCCAAACATTTTAATTTCCTTACTCATTTCTTTTTGTTTGCATGCATTAATCTAGGATTTCTCTCTTCTTTTTTTTTTTTCAATTTTTATAACATGTCGTTTTCTGCAATGTAATTGCATCTTTCAAAAACAGAAACATGACCTTTTCAATTTAGCAACAGAGAAAGGGAGGGTAAACACGGTGGTAGATTATCTATAGAAATAAGGATGTTGGGTTGAGATTAGTATATTTTGTTGCGAGGTATAGTCTATAGTTGGATTAATTCTGTTACCAGTTCCATTCTTCCGAATTTTTTAGTTCGAAGCAGATCAATTTTTACATTTTTATGTTTAATTTTGGGAAGAAATGAAAATGAGTTTTGCCTTTTTGAGTATTTCATCAGTACTAGCTTGCTGCATATGCTGTTCTCCGGGTGTAAAGATAATTCTCTTCTAAGCAAGCTTGCTTATCTTTGAACTCTTTAACTGATTTGTGGCTGCAACAAGATTTTTTTTTGGGACTTTTTACAGTCTTTTTAACAGTATCAGGTCTTTGTCTTGCATGTCACTAGGCTTATTCATTTTTCAATTCACATTGATCACGGATTTATAGTTGATTGCATTTCATTTTGACTGCTTTAAAGGGGTTTTCATCAGCATGTCTGAAATGATAAAATCTTTTCTATTCTAAAGTAGGGGGAGGGCAGGCACTGTTTTATTTATTTATTTTGCTTTATTTACAACAAAACCATGTGATTTGGAGATGGGTTGGAAGGTAGTTATTAAAAGTTAGGAGGGTAATTTTGTCTTTTGAGGTCAATTCCTCCCCCTTCGATTTTGCTTTATCTACAACAAAACTGTGGGATTTGGGGCTGGGTTGGAAGGTAGTTTTTAAAAGTTAGGAGGTTAATTTTGTCTCGGACCAGATTTCAAAATATTTACGGTTTTACCAGGATTGCTCTGCTTCAGAAATTTTTTATTGTGTTGAATGACGAGACTGCCCATCTCATCTTCAGATCCCACGGTGAGGATGATGAGATGGAGGGGTAGAATCATCTTTTTATCATGAGACTGCCCCGTCACTTCGTTTTGTCTTCGGCACAGACAAAGCCATGCCAATCCTGGCATGGGTGAGTGGGAGGGCGACAGTGTGAGAAGGAGAGATTTCAGGTATTTGGGGGTAGGGAGAGTGATTTCAGGGATTGGCAATCCCATCCCGTGTTTTCCTCTCATCTCTGTCACACTCCTCTCTCTAGCCCTTTCTCTTTCACTCTCTTTCAAAGTCTCCCTTTCTCCCAACTCTCCATCTTTCTCAACTTTAGTCCTAGCCCTAATTTGTTCTTTCATTCCTCAATTTTCTCCATCCGAGCAATGAAAAATTGAACTGGGTTTTCAGATTATTGATGCACAGGGATTCACGGACAGAAGGCAGAGAGAGAGAGAGAGAGAGAGAGAGTTGATTGAGGGAGTTGGTGAGTATGGGCTTGCACAGAGGGAAGAACGCAGAGAGAGAGGTGAGAGGCATGGTTCACAGAGGGGTTGATGGGTTGCAGGTGGAGAGGGGGGTTGACAGGAGGGTATTAATCTTGGATGTTTTCATTCTTGGTTCATTTAGTTAGTGAAGGTATTAATCTTCTGCAGATTACGACTTACATTTGGTTGTTCATCTGGTTTTGTTTTTCTTATTTGTAACACACCCTGATCAGTGGCTGCCAAGCTTACTTGAAAGGGTTTGGCATTTTAATTACCTTAGATATAATTTGAAATTTATGTTTTATACACCAATATTCCGAATATATATTCTGGATTATGATTAATTTTCTTCTCCTTCCACGCTTGCTTTATATGATGGACAATGTGCCCTTTTTTTTCTTAGATAAACTGTCTTTTCACTATCTTGCATGCTTCGGCAACAAAGATTAATAAAACTGCACATCTATTATAGACAGAGAGATGTAGGGAGAAGTTGGAATTGGAGAGAGAGAGGGTGAGGGAGGGATGGGGTTGCTTTCCAAAGATTTGTTTTGAATTGTTTCTCCAGTTCTTTCTATTTGTTTGGGATTGTTTCTTTTTTACTGATTTATTTTGGTCCATGCCACTAAAATATGATTTATGCTATTAATTGCTACTTGAATGTGACTTTTGGTATTAATATTTTACCTTTCATGTTTATGCTGCGTTTGGATTCCATTCGAATCAAATAATGTAGTTAATCTTGATATGAATTCTCTCTGCAACAATAATTAGGGACTTTAGTTTAAATTATCACTAATTTGTTCTTGCTTTGGCCTTGAATCTTGGTTAATTTGGACTGCAGGTGGTTCTGATATGGAGGAGAAGCTGCAAGAGCTTATGATCTTGCTGCACTTAAGTACGACTGTTCTTAAACTCATATAAACTTTTCAGTAGGGTTCAAACTGTTAAGAGTTTTATGATTTTGCAAAAGCTTTTAGTAGCAATAACTTGGTCTATTTGCAGTTGCATTATTACACTATACAAAACTAGCAGCAGCTTAACCCCATTCACAAATACATATTTAGTTCCTCCCTCATTTTTCAGGTACAGAGTGGTGCTGAAAGTTTTCCTCATTAAGCTCCTATGCCCAGTTGGTCGGGTGTATATGACATGCAGTGAGCACAGGGACACAGATAGGTTAGTTTATCCATGATGCTGAGCAATGTCTTGAATGGTATCTGGGTTGCCACGTTTTAGATGCTTAGATATGTGATTGAAGTGTTATATGTAGTTTCTCTTTTTGGAATTCATAATGTTTGCAACTATAAAAAATAATATTCTTTTATACCTGTGTTTCTCTTTTCTTTTTTTCATGAGAAATTAATTGTCATTGGTAGCACTATAGAAAACCATCTTTCTGCATTATTCTCCACTTCATACAGAATTACATGATTTTAGGTTTAATATCAGATGTCTTATATGTGTAAAATTCATGTTGCTTTTGTTTCTCAGGGAAGCAGAACATTTTTTACAATCACATTTTTGTAATCAGCTTGGTTGAATGTATATAAAAGCTAAGTTGTTTTTCTTACTAACACTGTTCACTTAGCTATCCCTTTTGTTTGTTCACGATTATATTGAATTTTTTTCATGTTAAATGTGTCTTATTCATGTTGTTAAGGCTGGTGCACTCAAGTCCCGCAGCAGCGCGCGGGCCTATTACTAGTTAATCCTGTAATGATTTAGATCAATGGGCAGAACCGATTTCTAATATGTGATGGACTTGTTATTTCTCTCCTGAGTCATGTTTTCTAATGATTTTGATCAATGGCTGATTGTCCAAATTGTAATGACATTCAACTTTTGGGGCCTATGTAAACTTGGGGCAAAAAAAAAAAAAGTCAATATACCGTGGCTTGTCATTTTTCAACCAATCCAATTCAAAGTAGCACATCTCTAATTCAACATATCCAATTCATGTCGGCACATATTGAAATTCCAGTTCAATAAACCACATACCCAAATCAATTCAAACTAAATACCTAAAATTCAATCACATATCCAATTCAAACAACATGGCTGATATTCAAGAACATGCCCAATCTTTAAGCACATTTACAAAACAGATTTAGAACACTATAAAATCCTCTTAGTAGCAGAACATAAACATCAAAATCCAACAGAAAGACAAACCAGCATACTAGTTCTCTATCTTTTATGCTATTTTCGATGGATCTTCCCAACTCATCCCAAAAAACCGTGCATATAGTTCACTTGCAAGCATCATCCCACAACCAGAGTTCATGAAATTTCCAAAGAAAATAAATCCGTTAGCAATTTAGAGAAATTGGAGGACCAAATCATATTAAATTTGAGTTAAATGAGCAAAGGTACACCAATTAAATGAGATACTAAACACATTTTGAATCTATAAAATAGAAGAAGAATTTAATGAGGACCAAATCTTTTTCCTCTCCCTTCTCTCTCTGTCTGTTTCAATTGCTTTCAAATGACAGACAAATACAACCAGCGCAATGCTTTAGTATGCTCGTCTCACTATTGAACACTACTGGAGCAATAAAAGACTTGCAGTGTTTAGTGTGAGCATGATGCATAGGTTAGTTGTAACGATGTGACAATAACATCAGGGATTGAGTTTAATCGTAAAAATATGACCGCATGAAGCTTTATCTGGTAATGTTTTAGTTGAAGATGATATTAATTGGTGGTGGTGTCTGTGTGTGTGGGTGGGGTGGGGCAGAATTTTGAACGGACACTTACCTAGTAGGATAATAATTTATAAGAGTACACTTTTTAAAATTTCTTTGATGTTTTATTAACTTATTTCACAAATCAGAACTTAATTTTTGTTAGAAATAAAGAGTTTGAATAAAAATTAAAACATGAGATGAGTGATATAAACCGCACTAAATTTGAATACTAATTAGGAGATAAACAGACAAATTCCTAATCAATCAAGTTACGAAGGTCCTAAATCCTAATCCCATGACCCCACTTTCTTTCCAAATTTTCCAGCAACCAAACAGACCCCAACCTAACCCTAATTAGCAAATTTCTCAATCAAACACCACTCAATCACCCATCAAAAACCAAAGAAATTCAAGAAAATGAAGAATGCAATAGTTGTAAGGTCTTGTTTCTTATCAAAATAGATCCCTCTTAAGAAAGTGAATGAGGCAATTCTGAGAAGCAACCGTTGGGTAAGAGTACAAAATTGCATGCTTTTCATTTTAAAATTTAAAGTTCAAATTTTCATTTCTATTTTGAAGATCAATATTATGTATCGTCTCATCTTTTTCATGCATTTAGATACCTTTTGAAAGAAAGTCCCATGCTATTTTATTTCCATTTTGTGGTATTCTAATCTTTCAAAAGACTCCACACAAGCAGCACTTCTTCAAAAGTGGAAAAAACAGGGAAACAACGCACCCAGTATGATTTTAAAGTAAGTTTGAAAGTCAGTATACCTCCTGTGAGTTCCTCCTATCCTCACTTGGGCTCCATATGGAAAGATTTTCTTGACATTTCCTTTTAAAAGTGTTCCCTCCTTAAGTGTTGAGAATATCGCATTTAAGAATGGGAAAAATAAAACAATCTTCGGAAATAAAAAACAAATGACCAAGATAAATAACACTAAGAATTTACCTGGTTTGGCAATATGTGCCTAGGAACAGCAACAACAATCTTGCCAAATCTCTAGAACTAGGACTTGACGAAAAACCTGAAAGAACAAGAACAAGAAATACACTATCTTTTCTTTTCTCTCGCACACACTTTGCCCCTTCCAATATTCTCTCACTCTAATCCCTTGAGTGGTATTTGTTTGTACCATACTTAGGACATCCGTATTTGGATCTCGTATAAATACTCGGGGGACTCAAATGTAATTATGTAATAAATGAAGGGGCAAATATGTAATAAGTGAGGAGCCCTTATTCTATAAAAGAACTCCTCACCCTCACAATCCTCAAGCCTCATATCCCCAAATAGAGGCTCTCATATTCATAGCAAAGCTCTCTCAAACTCTCTCTGAGGGACTCCCCCTCACATTTGTAATTCATGCATACAGTTACAGAGAAACAATATCAACATCAGTGTGGACGTAGCCCAAACATTGGGGTGAACCACGATACATCTTGTGTTCTTTACTTTCTTGCAGATTTACGGTCGGATTTACGTTGTCCCAAGACCCATCTGGTTTTGTGCATTAACATTTGGCGCCGTCTGTGGAAAACGACACGAAAAGCTATGTCGGTTCTCTTTCAAATTTTCATCTCATCACCGTGAAACCTTCACAACCTCACCACTGTCCATCGTGAATCTGCAAAATCCAATCGACTAGCTACTGCTTCCACCATCCCAAGCTCCTAACACCCTTTATTTATTCCGACCTATGGATCTACCATTTCTCAGCAAAATCCAACTGTTGGGTTTTGTTGTGAAGATCAAAGATACCAAATATGGATGCCTTCTCTTCCTCATTTCTATCTACATTTCCCACTCAAAAGATATCAATCTCTCATGCCATAACATCCCCCAAGCTCAGCAGCATTTCTGCTGTCAGAATTGAAGAAAGACCCACCTCTCAACCACCAGCTTCAAGGCCGCCACCGCCACCTCCTGAAAAGCACTCCACAGCCTCTGTTAGAGGTGAAGACAGATCGTGCACTTCAAAACAACGCTTCAACTTTCACTGCGGCAAAACATATAGCTGTGTGATGTGATTGGGTCTCAATTTTATGGTGAAAAACTTCAGATATTTCCGCATTCACAATTTTTCTGGATTTTTCAAAAATTCAGATTCTAAAGTCTGAAATTAAGAAATTGTATCAAGGTAGCAGCAGAATCCGCAGCAATGTCGAGCGACGGCGACAACCTGGACGAGGACGATGACTCCAAGTCAAACCGACAGCTCTCCGACTTGGTGGGCCCACTTCGGCTCCGGCTCCGTCTTCTTCTTGCTCGGGACTCCCTCACTTGCATCTCCGGCTCCGTCTTCTTCTTGCTTCAGATCTCCGCCGAGCTCAAGAATCTGACCGACCTTCAGCCGCAGGACGGCTACGACAACCCAAACTACTCCTATCTCTTTAAGCGGAAATGTGAGTGGTGTGGAGAACTGAGCCCGAGAGAAACTTTTGTGAGCTTAAACGAGACTATTACTCTTCCAGCCCGCTGTGGGGATTTATGAGAGAAGACCGGTACTTGCAGACCTTGGATGGTGCTTCTCCTTTCCCAAATTGTTTTCTTCCTGCTTAAATACACGAAAAGTTATGTCTATGGCTTCTCCTCCACAGCATCCTGGAAATATGGTGACGATGGGGCGTTTGTAACGTGGGAAGAGTACAGTGCGAAGCTCAGATCTCTCTCTCTCTCCAAAAATCATTCCATCATATTGACAGAGTAAGCTTCAACTTCACTAACCTCCTAGGTCCCACTTGCCATCCCGATATTTGATGATGAATATAGATAGTGGGAGCAATGAGTTTTGGGACTCAAATCAAAACGGTGCCAGCACTGATTCGTGCTACCAGAGAATGATGAAATTTTCATGATACAACCCACTACTCGATCAGTCTCAGAGATCATTGCAAACTATCAGACAGCTCAACCACTCCCACAAAAGAAAAAGAAAAAGAAAAGGATGTCTGGAGAAAAGAATAAAGAAAAGCAGAAAGTAAAAACAGAAAGCAAAAGCAAAAAGCAAAAGAAGATAAAAAGAAGCAGACATAATTGCTGTGGTGATGGCATGCAGAAAAGGGAATTATGGGCGTGACTCATTGAGCAGAGGGTCAGATTTATTTTTGAAAGATGTGATTTATTTTTCTTATCTTTCGGAGACATCTGTATAACCCAACCAGAGGGTAATCATAAATAAAGAAAGAAGAGAGCATGCCAAAAATAAAAAAAATAAAAAAAAAAAAAAAAAAACAAAAAAACGGCAAGCCCAAAATAATGGGCTGGATTGTTATGTGGAGGGCGAAAACCCATATGTCCAAAAGAGCCAGGTCTTATGACTTCAAATTCCAAACTTCATCCCTCCACTTAAAGTTCACCCTCTATTATCACCAACCAGGTGATCAAAAGTACGTCCAACACTCCAAAATTATTCGACAGCCTGTCGCTATTATCACCAACCAGGTGATCAAAAGTACGTCTAGTACTCCAAAATTATTCGGCAGCCTGTCGCTATTATCACCAACCAGGTGATCAAAAGTATGTCCAATACTTCAAAATTATTCGGTAGCTTGCTGCTATTATCACCAACTAGGTGATCAAAAGTACGTCCAGTACTCCAAAATTATAAATGAGCATCACTCATGTCAATCGTACATAAACATTCATGAGCATCACTCATGTCAATCATACATAAACATTCATGACCATCATTCATGTCAACATTTATGAGCATCACTCATGTCAACATTCATGAGCATCACTCATGTCAACATCTATAAGCATCACTCATGTCAATCAACATAAACATTCATGAGCATCACTCATGTCAATAAGCTTCGAAAGCTTCATTTACAGAGCTCCAACTTCGAGAGCTCCAACTTCGAGAGCTCCAACTTCGAAAGCTTCATTTACAAAAGCTCCAGCTTTAAAGCTTCACTTTCAAAGCCTCACCTATAAAACTTCACTTTCAAAGCTTCACCTACAAAGCTTCAGTGCATGGTATACAAAGACCGCTTCCGAACAACCGCACTTTGGCCCATACATGGATTGAATTTGAAGTCTCTAGCAACAGACTTTATTTACTGAAGATTTGGGGGACTACACTATGTACCATATATTGGGCTTCCGCAACTGGGCCTCATGAAAAATACTTAGGGGACTTAGCCCCTTATTTATGTACTGAGGAGCGAACTTTTATTCTATAAAAGAGACTCCTTCACTTTCATTAGAAAGCACCTATTATATATGTACTGAGGAGCGAACCTTTATTCTATAAAAGGGACCCCTCACCATCATTAGAGAGCATTGCCGCCTGCTAAGCAACCGCATCGCCGCCTGCTAAGCAACCGCATCGCCGCGAGCATCATTCCTAACCCATCACTTATGTATTGAGGAACGAGCCCTTATTCTATAAAAGGGACTCCCTCACCATCATTAGAGAGCATCGTCATCTGTTGAGTAACCGCCTCGCTGCGAGCATCAACTCTAGCTCATCATTTATGTATTGAGAAGCGAGCCCTTATTCTAAAAAAGGGACTCCCTCACCTTCAACGCCACAAGCCGAGCCAACCAAGGCAACACAAGCCACAAGCCGAGCAGCCTTGCAACATGTGCTACTTCTAATTGAGCATCATTTCACATTGAGCACCGCCTCATATCGAATATTCAGTTCTAGACGACATCTAGTTACTTCGGCCCACACATGGACTAAATTTCAAGTCTCCAGCCAAAAGACTCTCTTGACTGAAGACTTGGGGGACTACTGTTTGTACCATACTTAGGGCATCCGTATTTACATAAATGAAGGGGCAAATATGTAATAAGTGAGAATCCCGTATTCTATAAAATGACTCATCACCCTCACAATTCTCAAGCCCTATATCCCCAAACAGAGGCTCTCACATTCAGAGCAAAGCTCTCTCAAACTCTCTCTTTCTCTAAGGGACTCCCTCTCACACTTGTAATTCATACATACAGTTACAGAGAAACAATATCAACATCAATGTGGATGTAACCCAAACATTGGGATGAACCACGATACATCTTGTGTTCTTTACTTTCTTGCAGATTCACGGTCGGATTTACGTTGTCCCAAGACCCCTCCGGTTTTGTGCATCAACAGTATTCAATTTATTTTTTTGCTCCCTTCTCAAAACTAGTACAATAACCCTTTTATATAGACATAATAAAGGTCTTCTTCAATAACGATTATTAATCCTAATTGAAATCTAGTTATGAATCCTTCTCCTATTGAGAAACTAACTCCAATTGGGAAAACAATTTAATCCTTTAAAACTATAATTCCTTATAGACTTAGGACAACTTATCATGGGTTGGAAAAAACCCAACATTAAGGTATAATAGTTCCTGAAACATTATATGGCAAACCAATGTCAGTTCTTATGAAAAATAAGATCACAGAATATCAGAACAAACAATGAGAGAACATTGCAAGCAACAAAAAACATGAATAAATCAAATGTCAAAATCCAATTGACCCAAGCTTTTTTCTCACTCAATACTAAGTCATTCTTAGCTTCGTCTATTCGAGTAATCTGCACATGCATCCGGCAACTCACCTACACCATTAGGAAACATGTGTAAGAAGCAGATTAACAAAACAAACATATGCAACTATCAAAGGGAGGAAAAAGTTAAACAATGAAAAGTTGTCAGTTGAGGTAAATCATACTCCACAATGAAAATTAGTAAAAGATTAAAGTACAAAACAACTGAGGTAAATCATACTCCAGAACAACAAATTTTTAGAAATACAAACTTAAAATATTACCCATCATGCTAGCCACTTCTTCTAAACCCTAAATCATACTCCAGAACACAAATTTTTAGAAATACAAACTTAAAATATTACCCATCATGCTAGCCACTTCTTCTAACATAATTACTTTCACCTTTCTAATATCATAGTTTTTTTTTTTCATTTCTTACCCCACTTCAATATCGTCCAATCTTTGAATTTTCCAATAGTTGCTGTAGAGTGGGTCACTTATAGCAAGTTTAACATAATGAGTTAGAACACTACAAAATCTACCCAATGGCAGAACATAAACACCAAAATCCAACACAAAGACCAAGCAGCATACCAGTTCTCTATCTTGCATGCTCTTTTCAGCTGGATCTTCTTAACTCGCTTAAAAAAAAATGTTCATATAGTTCACCTGCTAAGATTATCACACAGCCAAAATGTAAATATATTTGTACCAAGGAATACATAAGGAACCAAGAAATGAGAAAAATATCTACCAACAGAGGGATGAGAAGCAAACACCATCAAATTATGAAGAAGCAGAGAAATGAGCACAATGAAACCCAAAAATTCAAATGATGGTTTTAAGAACAAAACAATAAAAAAGGTTTTTCAAACAGTTTATAACTTGTTGAATCAGAAGAAAGAACTGACAACCCATACCCTCCCACACGTCCCTCCGTCACTCGATCACTCAACCTGTGCACCAACCCATTAATTAACACCCAAAAATGCACACATCCATGCTTTCTCCTCTCTCTCTATCTATCTCTATCTCCTTGTCCATCTCTCTCTCTAAAATGATAAATCCCCCAAAACTAGACCTAACATACTAAACAATTCCAAAAGCTAAGCTACCATTAAAGAATAAAAAAAAAAAAAAAAAGGTCGTACCTAGTGCACAAGGCTCCCGCTTTACGCAGGGTCTGGGAGAGGTGAATGTACAATAAAAAAAAAAAGAACTATCTTTGATTTGAGGCATGCAGCGCAAGATCCGGCACCCACTCTTAGCAGGGTTCGTTCATGACCCCTACCCGTTTCCCTGAAATCCTAACGACCCATATGGTCTTCTCTGACCATACCCACTCTCCCACTTGTGAAATCCACCTGCAGCAACAGTGCCGAGAACCATTCCCCTCCCCCTTGCTCTCCTTCCATCGCCATCTCTCTCTCTCTCTCTCTCTCTCTCTCTCTCTCTCTCTCTCACAGAGCCTTCATCCCCGAAACCCTCATTCAACGACAACAAATGAAACGTACCCGGTTACCCCTTATCTGGCCCAAAACCGAAAGGACAAAATTGTCCCTCCCGATACACCATCCCCACCATCGAACTATTATTTTGTATGGGCAAAATTGTAATTTAAAAATTTGGGCTTGACCGAGGGCCAGGCTTCTCAGCTAAAATCAATACATTTGGGCTTGGCTGCAAGCCGGGCTGCTCACCTAAAGGCAACACAAAGAGCAATGGCATTGTTGTAATTAAACTGAAATTCGGATTGGAACACTATTCATTTCTACAGTGCCAATTGAGAAACTTTCTTTAGACTAAAGTAATAATGCCAAATACTCCTTCAGCTGTCGGTGCAGCAGCCTAAGGTAATTATGTTATCCTTTTAATATTTTAGTCTTTCATATTGAATGTTAAAAATGTATGCTTTATTGTTTTCCCTTATGAACCTGTAAACTGTGTTGGCTGCTCATCCAGCTTTCCTATTTGATTGTAATCAAACGGGTTGCCCTAGGGGCTTTTCTCTTTAATTTAGTTCTTTCCTTTCCTAGCAAAAATAAAAAAGTAATATTTCTTTATGGCGAGCCTTTTCTAAAGTAATATTTACTAAGCCTTATGTTGTACTTCTATCGCCCTGCCCTTGGAACTCTCCTTATACAAAAACTATCAGCTTTTTACATACTAAAGACAAGTATATTTTCCAGTATTAACTAGATAAAAGCTTGGAATAAGATATATGTGACCGTGGTGACAAGACTTGTGAAATGCCGATTACTTATGTTTAGTCTATGTATTTTAGAATTCTTCAAAGACTCCCTCCAGCTTATGCACATTTTCCTTGGATTGTTTTCATATTATTTATAATTTGGTGTGCCAAATTTGTATACAACAACAACAACAACAACAAAGCCTTTTCCCACTAAGTGGGGTCGGCTATATGAATCCTAGAACACCATTGCGCTCGGTTTTGTGTCATGTCCTCCGTTAGATCCAAGTACTCAAGTCTTTTCTTAGGGTCTCTTCCAAAGTTTTCCTAGGTCTTCCTCTACCCCTTCGACCCTGAACCTCTGTCCCGTAGTCACATTTTCGAACCGGAGCGTCAGTAGGCCTTCTTTGCACATGTCCAAACCACCGGAACCGATTTTCTCTCATATTTCCTTCAATTTTGGCTACTCCTACTTTACCTCGGATATCCTCATTCCCAATCTTATCCTTTCTCGTGTGCCCATACATCCCACGAAGCATCCTCATCTCCGCTACACCCATTTTGTGTACGTGTTGATGCTTCACAGCCCAATATTCTGTGCCATACAACATCGCTGGCCTTATTGCCGTCCTATAAAATTTTCCCTTGAGCTTCAGTGGCCTACGACGATCACACAACACGCCGGATGCACTCATACACTTCATCCATCCAGCTTGTATTCTATGGTTGAGATCTCCATCTAATTCTCCGTTCTCTTGCAAGATAGATCCTAGGTAGCGAAAACGGTCACTTTTTGTGATCTTCGCTAGATTGCTCCGGTCATTAGTGTGGATAAGTATATAAATGGATAGAGATAGGAAAGCAAACACAAGATGTACGTGGTTCACCCAGATTGGCTACGTCCACGGAATAGAGGAGTTCTCATTAATTGTGAAGGGTTTACACAAGTACATAGGTTCAAGCTCTCCTTTAGTGAGTACAAGTGAATGATGATTTAGTACAAATGACATTAGGAAATATTGTGGGAGAATGATCTCGTAGCCACGAAACTTCTAAGTACCGGAGTGCGGTATCGTCTTGACTTGCCTTATCTGTCTCATAGGTAGATGTGACATCTTCTCTGGAAGTACTCTTCCTCCATCCAGGGGTGGTATCTGTAACTGGTGGAGATGCACAAGGTAATGTATCAATTTCACTTGAAGCTTACTTGTAGTTTCATGCTTGGTCAAGCGCGATACAAACCATGTAGTAGGAGTCCCCCAAGTCGCCGAGCTAGGGGATCTGCTGAAAGAGGTGAAAGACAAGGTAAGCAATCAGAGCTCCTGCTGATTGTTCACATTCTCCCTAGCTTGCAGGCAGCATGAAGGATAAAGAGAAGAAAAATGAGAAGAGATGATATGGGATACTTTTGCTTTTGAAGAAGTAACTTTCCACATGCTTATTCTTGAACTGGGCTGGAGGGTTTTCTGGTTTCCTCCAGAGTATAAGGCCGACTGAAGAATTTGAGGGTCAAAACAAGTCCATCAAATCTAGAGTACGTTCGACCCTACTAATATGGGATACTTTTGCTTTTGACAGAGTAGTGGATGTATCGGCACGTGTGCTGTTACGCTTGTCTCCACATGCTTCCTTGTATCCTTCTCACTTGCCCTATCTGTTCCTCAGGCAGACGCGGTATCTTCCCTGGAAGCATAAGATGTTGAAGATGAGTACTTGAGAGCAATGCCAGGTAAGTAATCAGGTAAGGGGTTCCATGCAGTCAGTTCCTGGCTGGAAGCTTGATTCCAAGTGCTGACTGATTGCTCTCTTTCTCCTTGTCTTGCAGGTAAGAACAAGGCCAAAGGAAAAGACAGGGAAAAAGCATGATATGGGATACTCTTGCTTTTAACCCTGATGATATGAGATATTCTTGCTCTAGTATAGCTTGTTTACAGAGGTATTATCGGGGGGAAAGAAAGCTGAATATTTCGAAAAGGCTTCGTTGGGAGTGCCCTCTCAGATAAGAGAAAGGGTTGAGCATTTTTGCAGGTCTGCCTGTCCGTTAGGGATGGAGGTCGACATATATAGGAGTCTCTCCCTAACATCAAGTAATAATGGTATTCCTTTACCTGCTGCTTGGTCATAGCACGGTAGTGGGAGCTGCCAGCTTCACATGTTTTAACTCTGTCAGAGCACTTTGAAAAAGTGGTCTGTGGTATCTGAAAAGCTGATGTTGCGTGTGAAGATTACAGACAAGCTTTATCCAAGGAGATCCAGCTCTTGAAGTTGGGAAAGTGGTGCCTCTTCGGTTTTCGAACAAGCAATCCTGTCGGGGATCTGGCTCTCGAGATTCGGAGAACGATGCCTCTTCGATTTTTGAGAAAGCAATCCTGCTGGGGGTCTGGCTCTCGAGATTCGGAGAGCGGTGTCTCTTCGATTTTTGAGAAAGTAATCATGTTGGGAGTCTGGCTCTCGAGATTCGGAGGGCGGTGCCTCTTCGATTTTGGAGCAAGCAATCTTGTTGGGAGTGTTTTCTCGAATGTGAGTAAAGGTTGGGCATGTTTGCTAGTCTACCTTGCCACGAAGCACAAAGGTTGACACACAGGGACTTTCCAATTATCCAGCAGTGGTACTGTTCCTTTACCCTCTCTTCGATTTTTGAGAAAGTAATCATGTTGGGAGTCTGGCTCTCGAGATTCGGAGGACGGTGCCTCTTCGATTTTGGAGCAAGCAATCTTGTTGGGAGTGTTTTCTCGAATGTGAGTAAAGGTTGGGCATGTTTGCTAGTCTACCTTGCCACGAAGCACAGAGGTTGACACACACCGGGACTTTCCAATTATCCAGCAGTGGTACTGTTTCTTTACCCTTGTGGGTAATAATATGGTAGCTAGACCTTCAAAATTTATGTGTCTAAACTTTGTTAGTGTTGTTTCTTTGCAATTCTTTTACCCTTCTTGGTCAGAGCGATGTAGTGGGAGCTGCAAGCTTCACGTGTCTCAACTTTGGTCAGAGAACTTTGGCAAAGTTATCTGTGGTACCCATGAGCTACTGTTGTGCGTGTGGGAAGTGGGTGATTGAACAGTAACGATTCATGTGCTTTCTACTTCACCAGAAATCTTCGACAGAATGCCCATAATTTCCGCAAAGCTGAGTGTGCGTGTGACAGGTGCTGACAAGGCTGGAAAAGTAGGTGCCTCTTCGATTACTGAGATCGGCCCTCGTGGTCTCTGAACAGCCCAGCTTTTGAGAAAGCAAGCCTCTTCGATTTCTGAGATCGGCCTTCGTGGTCTTTGAGCAGCCCAGCTTTTGAGAAAGCAAACGCCTCTTCGATTTCTGAGATCGACCCTCGTGGTCTCTGAGCAGCCCAGCTTTTGAGAAAGCAAACGCCTCTTCGATTTCTGAAGCTTCGTCGAGTGCAGATTTTTATAGAGGCTGACATTAAGTTCCAAAGCACACTTGAATATCCACCAGTAGAAGCTCCATTCTTGCACTTCTAAGATCTTGATTTGTTCGACCTCTTCTCTCTCTTCAACACCTTTGAAAATGTCTGGCCCCTCCGACCGTCGTTTTGACTTGAACCTTGTTGAAGAGGCAGCCCCGCCTTCTCCAGACAACATATGGGCGCCCATCCTTCGTCTCCCCTACTGGTCCTCTTACCGTTGGGGATTCCGTGATGAAGAATGATATGACCGCTGCGGTAGTGGCCAGGAACCTTCTCACTCCCAAAGATAACAGACTACTTTCCAAACGGTCTGATGAGTTGGCTGTTAAGGATTCTCTGGCTCTCAGTGTTCAGTGTGCAGGTTCTGTGTCTAATATGGCCCAACGCCTATTTGCTCGAACCCGCCAAGTTGAATCATTGGCGGCTGAAGTGATGAGTCTCAAACAGGAGATTAGAGGGCTCAAGCATGAGAATAAACAGTTGCACCGGCTCGCACATGACTATGCTACAAACATGAAGAGGAAGCTTGACCAGATGAAGGAAATCTGATGGTCAGGTTTTACTTGATCATCAGAGATTTGTGGGTTTGTTCCAAAGGCATTTATTGCCTTCGTCTTCTGGGGCTGTACCGCGTAATGAAGCTCCAAATGATCAACCTCTGATGCCTCCTCCTTCTAGGGTTTTGTCCAGTACTGAGGCTCCGAATGATCCCCCTCCGGTGCCTTCTCTTTCTGGGGCTCTACCGACTGACTGCTGAGACTTCTCCTAAGCAACCTTTGTGAAGGCTCCCTCTTGTTTGTTTATTTTGACTCAAGTATATGTACATATTTGTAACTTATCGGGGATATCAATAAATAAGCTTTCCTTCATTTCAACGTATTGTGTTAAATACACCAAAGCCTTCTTCGCTAAGTTCTTTGAATTTTCTTTTGTTGAAGCTTTGTGAGTGGAGCATGTAGGTTGAGGTAGTGTTCCCTTAATTTCCCGAGTGAGGAAAACTTCTCGGTTGGAGACTTGGAAAATCCAAGTCACTGAGTGGGATCGGCTATATGAATCTTAGAACGCCATTGTGTTCTGTCCTGTGTCATGTCCTCCGTTAGATCCAAGTACTCTAAGTCTTTTCTTAGGGTCTCTTCCAAAGTTTTCCTAGGTCTTCCTCTACCCCTTCGGCCCTGAACCTCTGTCCCATAGTCGCATCTTCTAATCGGAGCGTCAGTAGGCCTTCTTTGCACATGTCCAAACCACCGTAACCGATTTTCTCTCATCTTTCCTTCAATTTCGGCTACTCCTACTTTACCCCGGATATCCTCATTCCTAATCTTATCCTTTCTCGTGTGCCCACACATCCAACGAAGCATCCTCATCTCCGCTACACCCAATTTTGTGTACGTGTTGATGCTTCACCGCCCAACATTCTGTGCCATACAGCATCGCCGGCCTTATTGCCGTCCTATAAAATTTTCCCTTGAGCTTCAGTGGCATACGGTCGGTCACACAACACGCCGGATGCACTCTTCCACTTCATCCATCCAGCTTGTATTCTATGGTTGAGATCTCCATCTAATTCTCCGTTCTTTTGCAAGATAGATCCTAGGTAACGAAAACGGTCGCTCTTTGGTATATTTCTTGATCTCCGATCCTCACCCCTAACTCGTTTTGGCCTCCATTTGCACTGAACTTGCACTCCATATATTCTGTCTTTGATCGGCTTAGGCGAAGACCTTTAGATTCCAACACTTCTCTCCAAAGGTTAAGCTTTGCATTTACCCCTTCCTGAGTTTCATCTATCAACACTATATCGTCTGCGAAAAGCATACACCAAGGAATATCACCTTGAATATGTCCTGTTAACTCATCCATTACCAACGCAAAAAGGTAAGGACTTAAGGATGAGCCTTGATGTAATCCTACAGTTATGGGAAAGCTTTCGGTTTGTCCTTCATAAGTTCTTACGGCAGTCTTTGCTCCTTCATACATATCCTGTATAGCTTGGATATATGCTACTCGTACTCCTTTCTTCTCTAAAATCCTCCAAAGAATGTCTCTTGGGACCCTATCATACGCTTTTTCCAAATCTATAAAGACCATGTGTAAATCCTTTTTCCCATCTCTATATCTTTCCATCAATCTTCGTAAGAGATAGATTGCCTCCATGGTTGAGCGCCCTAACATGAACCCGAATTGGTTGTCCGAAACCCGTGTCTCTTGCCTCAATCTATGCTCAATGACTCTCCCAGAGCTTCATTGTATGACTCATTAGCTTAATACCCCTATAGTTCATGCAATTTTGTACATCGCCCTTATTCTTGTAGATAGGCACCAAAGTGCTCATTCGCCACTCATTCGGCATCTTCTTCGTTTTCAAAATCCTATTGAAAAGATCAGTGAGCCATGTTATACCTGTCTCTCCCAAAACTTTCCACACTTCGATTGGTATATCGTCTGGGCCTACTGCTTTTCTATGCTTCATCTTCTTCAAAGCTACAACCACTTCTTCCTTCCGGATTCTACGATAAAAAGAGTAGTTTCTACACTCTTCTGAGTTACTCAACTCCCCTAAAGAAGCACTTCTTTCATGTCCTTCATTGAAAAGATTATGAAAATAACCTTTCCATCTGTCTTTAACCGCGTTCACTGTAGCAAGAACCTTTCCATCCTCATCCTTGATGCACCTCACTTGGTTTAGGTCCCTTGTCTTCTTTTCCCTTGCTCTAACTAATTTATTGTCATGCACCTCTAATCTTCTGGTGAAATAGTTTTGAGCTTAGGAGGAGGTGCAACAGAACAAGATGGGGACCTCATAGCTAAAGTATTTGGATCAATACGCAAGACATGGAAAGCTGATGAAAAATACTTTTGACGCACTTACTGGCCTGAGGTTTGTGGCTTTGTGTCTATTTGATTCTGGGGTGTAGCCCACACGACTAAGAGTATCCTGCGCAGTAAGTTTACAGAACAAATCCAGTTCCAAATAAATGAAAAAAAAATAATATTGAGATTATAAAGCCCCATATATCATAAAAAGCCAGGAACTTGGATGAGAAAATGCATTCTTCTTGTGACTTTAATATGAAATTTCAATACACTAGCCAACAGAGACAGATGAATTAATTTTTACCATCCACCAAGCAAAAAATTTTACTTGCTACATTTCTACCTAAATTGTGATGGCTCTCAAACTAAGCTATTCTTGGTCAATCACCAAAAGTAAGAATTGCTTAAAGCTGCGACAGGTTGAAATCCCATATTTTCTATAAAGGCGACCATTAGCAAAACTCACCTATTTTATGATCAAGTCAATGCAGATGCTTTATGAAATGCACATTTTGTCAAAACCCTGAATATTTCTTTGTTGCAGCATTCTGGAAACATGGACTTGCATTCACAAAACAACAGTATAATTTGTTATTCAAATTCACGCAACTTGAGCTTAATTATTTCCACAGCCGTAGAATTTGTAATTTTATAGGATACAGAAATACATATCTCAATTCTATACATATCTTTTCTTTCTCCAACTCCAAATTTTCTTCACTTCATAGGAGGCATTTTCTTCATTTGTATAAAACCCTCTTCCTCTACTATCACTGCCCAAAAACACTTAAATGCAAACATGAATATTATGTGTGTGTGTGTGTGTGTGTGTATTCACACTACTTCACTAAAATGGTGCTAAGGTTTATAGCTTCAGTTTGGACATATAACAAGATAACTCCTCAGATATTGCAAAATGTTCTATACTCTTCTGTACTGATGCTCAAGTAATATCCATCCAGATGAACTTGAACATGCAGATTCCATTGAGTTTTGTGCCACCAGTCTGGTTATATAAGTGTCTTACACAGAGCTTCATTATGCTCACCTTCTAAAAACCACCTCTTACTTACTATATACACACCTAAACACGCAAATAGTGCCAGTACCATCTACTTATTTCAGACTCACCCATTTCATGTTACTTCATCATAAATCAATTTGATTTGAGTGCATGCAGAGAACTATTAGATACCTATGGCGCCCAGGCAAGAGTTTCCAATACAAAACTTTAATGTATCACTTTTCTATACTTTACCAAGCACAATATCTATGGGATTACCAGAATTTAACTCTACATTCAATCAATCAAGTTAACAGGACAATGTTGTCAATAGTTTGAGACCTAAATTTTGTTCAACAATATCATCCTCATAAAAGGCTATCACAGGTTCTTTCTCCTCTAAAATAGTGTTTTCATGTACCAATAAGTTTCATCTCATTTCTTCAGGTCTCATTCGTTTTCTAACAATCATTAACCAAACTGTGAGACCAACAAAAAAAATGCAGGAACCGAAAAATAAATACCTTGAAACGGACGGTCTCTTGATTGTATTGTTTCTCATTGCCAAGCATCAAAACCAAATTGTTCTTCCAATGCTCAACATGCTCTGGCTTCCATCATCTTCTAGTTGGGCAAGTGTTCTACCAAAGTTTGAAAACTTAACACACTCAGAAAAACCAACATCCCACATTAAAATCCACTCTTAACTTTACAGTTCTTGGAACGTATCCAACAAGACCATACCTTTTCAAATAAGTTAACCTGGATATCGCCTTTCGAGTATAATCAAGAAGAACATTAGACTCTTTTTGCACTTTAGCCCTCTTCTCCTCCACACCCGTCTTCCTCAACGATATATCCCCCATTGCCACAAGAAAACTAAAACCCAATTCTCTTATGTCAGTCCGGCATTCAAACAACAATGTACAACCCGCATTTCATATGGCATTCAGAATTCAAACAACAGTGTAAAACCGAAATTTCTTATAATTATTTAAGCACAACGGGTCAGTATTCGAAGCACAATGTAACACCCAGGATTCAAAAACACACACCTGCTGAGCTCAATGTCTCTTATATTCAACAAATTGGCTACATTGGCTAAAACCTGAGCTGAAGACACTACGTTCGAACCCAAACCCTACTGTGCCAAACCCACACTCCCCAATATCTCTCTGATCCTCGCAGCTAACACCCACAAACACAAAAATTCAAATTTTGAAGAGAAAAACTCATACAGATATACAAATTCAACAACAACGTATCTAACATGGACTCTCCCTCCACGGAAACAAACCCGGAATATTTCAGTTTTAAACAGATAAAGCTCCAGAGTTTTTAGAGCTTGATTTGTCACTTGGTTTTGTGTAATTAATATGAGCCCCGCCAAAGTGTCCTTAATCTGAGAATGTAGCCCACGAATCACATTAACCTTCACGATACCAGGGCCACAGTAAATGACAAGCATCTGCAATTCAAAAATTAATCATAGATACCAATTGCTCATAAGTTATTACTAGAAGATCATGTGCACCAATTTCAAGTGAAGAGCATAGCAAATACATCAGTGCCACTGTTTATGCCTTTGTCTACTATCCATGCATAAAACATTAAAATTTCAGCTGGATGGTAAGTGGGAGAAATCACATTGACCTAAGTGTAAGTGGAAGGGTGGAAGCAACCGAGGTTAAGCAGTCACATTCTGGTCTGGATAAAGTCTGCATGCATATCACTAACAACGTATCTAACATGGACTCTCCCTCCACATCCCCTGTAAGCTGTAAGGAGGACCTTCCAGCAGTTCCGAGGTATGTCTAGTATGCAATTGGCCACATCATTTACATTTAATTAGAATATGACACTAGAGAACGATACCAAAGCATGACAGTATACTAATACATCCACATGAAGCATTATACAATACGAAAAATTGTTTACTCCACATGACTTTGTTCATATGAAGTCAATCAGGGAAGTTGTAACTTGTAACCACCGCTTAAGATGCAATTCTAAAGACAAATCAGAAATCTATTACCAACTGTTACATAGGTCTGTCCAAATGAACAACCGGTTTGGGGATAAAGCATAGATAGGGATAGAAGAACAATAAGAAGAATACAGAAAAATACATTCTGAAGTTTAAAAGGAATCACTTTTCTACATGATATACAGACATTGAACTCTTCGACAAAAGAATACAGACATCAAACTCAAACAAGCTTCTAAATATGAAACAAACACTGGAAACTACGCACGTGAGCTGCTTGCCAAACAACAAAAGGATGCTAAAACACATTATACAGATCTAATCGTAAACCTCAATTCTAACATCAAGTAATTTCATATCCTTCAAAGGAAAATCCAGCATCTTTTATTTTCACAAGACTTTTGTGAATTCCTTAAATCTTATATCATTTATTGTAATCTTCAAATGAAATTACGCCATCGGTGGCCTGGTAAGAATCTGGTTACAACTAAGCATGCATGCATAGGTTGCATTGAGATTTATCAAAAAACAGAAAAAGGTCATCGCACCAAAGAAGTCACAAGCACTGAATCAGCCTTGCTTCTTCTTTTAGGACCATAGATAAAAAAAATCTGAGACGCATTCATGAGTAGCGCAATCATACACATATTGCTAAACCCCATTGCAGCTCAAACCTTAAAATTGCCAAATTCGTGAACGCATAAGATTTCGAAACTCGACACAAAATTAATCCAAGTGCAAGAATGAAGAAAAAGAAAACAGCCCAGAACCCCGAAAGTCTTGTTTCTTTGATTCTTCGTCACTAGATAAAGCAGTTATATGACATGCAAAGTAAGATTTGCATGAACATTTGCTTTTATTGTGTTCCCAAACTGAGATGGACAACATTCATAATAGTCACCAAAACAACATACCAAATAATTTTAAGGACAAGACACATATTGCCAAAATCTTAAACCCTAAACCTCAAAATTTCCAAATTCGTGAGCACATGGGTTTCGATATCCGACGCATGATACAAGTACCAGAAATTCCTCTATCTTTGATTCTCTTCCATTTCCAGTAAATAAAAATAAATAGAAAAAAAATAAAATTAAGGAAAAACAAGGCATGAATTGGTTACCCTGTCAGAAGGGTCGGTGCAATGAGTGGTGGAGAAGCGGAGGCGCCCGATATAGGGAGTGGGGCCGTGGAGGAAGCGGAAGTCTTGGAGAGAGAGGTCGATTTCAGAGGCGGGAACAGAATAGCCTCTGTCCCTCAGCATCTCCAGCACCGTTCTCCGTGACAGGTAGTATCTCTGGCTCTCTGCGCTACCTTCGTCTAATGTGGCTGGTCAAGCAAGGCCCCAGAATTTCCCCGTTGCTTTCCCCATTCGCTGGCTCTCCCTCCACCTCCATCTCTCTCTTTCCACGGTCCACCTGTCGGTGCAAGGCAAGGGTCCGGGCCCTAAACTTGCCCTCCAACCCAAAAACCATCCTCCACCGGTCCAGTCCAAATTAGAAGGGCAAGTGATGGGCCTATTAAAGTCCGGCCCTGCACCAGCGGGCAAGGCTGTCAGCCACGTTCTGATATTTATTTGTCGTTGGCGCGTGAATGCACACGTGAACTCGAAAAGACTACCAAGGTTATCTTCCTAGTTCTGATGATCCTCTTGCAACCAAACTATTGAAAAGAGTAATTTAACTTCAACAATAGCAATCAAACATAACTGGAGCCATCCTTTGACGTCGTAAAAAAACGGTAACGTTCCAAAATAAAAGGGCCAATCGTCAAAGTAAAGGTAGATGGGATTCAAATGAGGTGGCTAATGTACACAAAATTGATAGCTGCCTAATTGTGTAACCCATCATTACCCGTGTTGTGACTCACCAAATACAAGAAACAATGGCCAGTTACAATCTCAGTTTCTACGGTAGCTAGGTTATTGGGATTTCTTTTGTATATGGATAAAGGCACTATACCTACAAACAGCCTGCTTTCCAAGGATATCATGTGTGCTAGGTAATAGGGATTTCTTTTGTATTCAGGTGAGTGCTTAACGGATTAACCCATTAATCTTCCGTTAAATAACCGATCATTTTGGGTCAACTCCTTATTAATGGATCAACGTGTTAATCCCCGTTAAATTGTTAGTGGGTGTTAATAGGTTGAGTTTGAGTCCCGTTACCTTAATAGATTGGATTCCAGTGACCCATTAACTTAACGAGTCAGATGAAACCCAACCCATTTACTGGTCTAGTTTCTGGATATGGTGAGCTTATGACACGCCCCGACCCTGATATTCCCCGAATACCAGTATAGACACGTGCTGGCTGACACCCGAGGGTGACGAAAGCCATTTATTGATTACAAGAGAAATGATTAGGAGGAAATATTCATGAATAAACATTAGAATCTAGAAGTAATAAACAAGGTTTAAGGAAATGTCTAGAGTGTACAGAACACTTTCTGAAACAAGATCACAAAAGGAAAGATCATTACAGGATATCACATAAGTGAGTGATAGATTGCTACTGGTAGGGGAATGCCTCGTACGTCGTGTCGTAGTCCTCGTTTCTAAGACTTGAATGGAGGTGCAAAACAAAGGTGAGTGAACCAAGTTCATATATACAATAATAATAAAACAGTTATCAAGATACTAACCCTCACAGTTTATATAAAGAAAACTACTAACATAATAAGTGATGGTTTTACTGAAAATCCTAGCATGCCAAAAATATCTCAAGAGACATCCGTAGCTAGGGATTATTTCTCCCGGCCTATCTGCCAACACCAGATCCTCGCCCCAGACGGCATAGTGTTCACTAGGTACGCACAAAGAGTTACGCCTCTAAAAAATAATCACTTCATAGTATAAAGTCATCCATCGTTTATACTATAAAAAGGGGTTTCGAAAACATGTTCTAACATCCTATCGTCATCCATCAGATAGTCTACCAGTTTATGGTTTTTATAGAAAATACGATATATTAAAATATAACTCAATATAGGCTAACAATTAATTCCTCACCAAAAACGCAAGACGAGAGTCAACATATTAAATAAACATGCTTAACATAAAATCAAATTATAAACTCGTAAGACATGCTATTCATTTATGAAATTGAACTATAAAATCATGAAAATTTAGAAGGGGTCCACTCACAGTACTTCTCCATCGAAAAGCCGTGAAGTTAGCAAATATGCAAAAACCATAATAATTGCCCCTAAACACAAAAATGGTAATAAATAAATAAAAGGGGTTTTTAAAGAATTTGGGCTTGAATTAAATAAAATAAAGGATTTAGGTTGGATGGTTAGAGCCTAATGAGTTTAGGGCAAAGGGTTTTTGGGTTAAAAAAATTTAGGGTGCAAAGGTGGTTTGGGCCACACAACCAAAAAAAATTTAGGGTGCAAAGGTGGTTTGGGCCACACAACCAACACACACATACACTACACTACACACACACATACACTACACTACACACACACACACACACGCACTACACCATGCACACACACACATACGCACTACATAACACACACACACGTGCATGCACATTACACATGCACCCACCTGCACACACATATGCACACATAGCACAACACACACACACACACGTGCATGCATACACCCACACACATGCACGACAAACACATAACACACACATGCACCATCACTAAAATCTGCAGAAGACCCAGATTACGGCCTGAAGGCCTGGTGCTCACCGGAGAAGAACACCGGAGCTTTTACAGCTCAGGCCGACAGCGAACACATGACTTAGGCTCTTATCTAGGTACTAAAATGTAGAGGAAGGTAAGAGGAGTATTTCTATACCTTGGGCTTGCCGTAGAATGACTAGAGGTGATCGGAAAACCTCTTCAATGGTCACGGTTCGCCGGAGATGGGTGAACTCTCCCTGTGCCGATTTCATTCTTAAAACCTTGATAAAAACAAGATGAAACCCATTAAACATCATGCATGCATCATCAACAACGATTTAAAAGGAGATCTAAAGTTTCCCCAACCGGAAAATTTAGGAAAACTCGTCGGAGGTTCATTTTCCTGGGTTCGCCAATCTCGTTGTGACGGGGGAGAGAGACAAAGGCTAGGTTTGACAATGATGATGATGTCCTCGAGCATATGCAACTGTGGGTGTGAGTGTGCGATCACGGTGAAGAGAGGGAGAGAAGTATACGGGAAAGGGAAGAAGGAGAGGGAGAGAGAGATGAGTGAACTGAGAGAGATGATGGCTCGGGGGAGCAAAAATTAGGGGGTGGGCCCCTTGGGCTCACCAAATAAGAATTAAGACTATTTTTTTTAAATAAAATGGAGGGGTGGAGTGTTACAATCTACCCCTCTTAAAAGAATTTCGTCCACAAAATTTAAAATCAATTACTAAATTAAAATAGGAAAAAATAGGAAAAAGAATGTATGTATACATATAAAGAGAAATCAAGTTAGACTGGGTGCACAAAAGAGAATATGCCACACCGTCACGAACGGGTTCCAAAATCCTCTATCATGCCTCAAAGCTCACTTTCTTCTCCATAAGTGTAAAAGTAAAAAACATACTTATAAAGATATAAAGTCGAAAACACAAAATAGCTTAAGGTCAACAATAAGTACGCAAAATACGATAACGTCAAAATATATATTTGATAACATATAGGTCAAAAACTTCATGCTGAACTTAAAATTGAAAACGGAAAACACTTTCCTCAAAACATTTGTAACGACAAAAACAAATAACTAACTAAAGGAAGTTAAAATACTTGTACTGAAACACATCGCCTAAGGGAGTGATCCTTAAATATATATTCTCATTTTTACCTAGCATGAGGCATTTTGGGAGCTCACTGGCTTCGGGTTCCCTTGGAACTCCGAAGTTAAGCGAGTAGCGCACGAGAGCAATCCTATGATGGGTGACCCATTAGGAAGTTCTCGTATGAATTCTCAGAAACAAAACCGTGAGAACGTAATTGAGGCCCAAAGCGGACAATATCGTGCTACGGTGGTGGAGCGATCCCAGGATGTGATGGATCATGGGTCGGGCTGTGACAGATTGGTATCAGAGCCAATCCTGGACCGGAAATGTGCTGATGAGGACGTCGGGCCCTTAAGGAGGGATTGTGACATCCCACATCGCCCAGGGGAGTGATTCTTAAATGTATGTTCCCATCCCTACTTAGCATATGCCTTTTTGGGAGCTCGCTAGCTTCGGATTCCCTTGGAACTCCGAAGTTAAGCGAGTAGTACGAGAGCAATCCCATGATGGATGACTCATTAGGAAGTTTTCGTGTGAGTTCCCAGAAAAGAGAGTGCATTTTTGCTCACCACCATTTAGTGTGGTGTATGCTCACCATCCTATTTATCACCGTTAGATGAGTTTGAATTTCGAGATTCGTGTAGTAGATAAGTACAAATCTCGAAATTCAAACTCATCTAATGGTGAGCATACACCACACTAAATGGTGGTGAGCAAAAATACTTCCCAGAAACAAAACCTTGAGGACGTACTCAGGGCCCAAAACGGACAATATCGTGCTACGGTGGTGTAGCGGGCCCGGGATGTGATGGACCCCGGGCCCAGATGTGACAAACCCCAGGCCTGGATGTGACAGCTCAAGGTCCCGTGTCTCTGGTTTATCCTATGTTGACTCCTCATATTTAGCAACCAATACCATTTGCCAAGTCCGTTGGTGGACCTGTGCTTTTCATGACAAATGCATTGCAGTGTCCTACAATTGCGAATCAGCCCTCGCCTGCCCTGCCCTCGATCCTTGGAATTATCAAGAGTTCAGGTAAAAAATATTAACAGCTTCCTGATTGAGAACTGTGACTTACGAGTACTCTCAATGAAAAACAGACAATTTTCGACAATAATTACAGATAGATGTTCAACAGTCTAACCGTTTAAAAACTACAATACAAGGAAATTAACTTAAAACAAGAGGTCTGTCAAATACTTATTGCGGCCCAGTGGCTGGCATATAAGCTTCTCCTGCTCCTGAACTTCATGGGGAAAAAACAACCAGATCTTGCTTTACTAATGAGGTAGGGTAACACTGCAACACAAAGAAAAAAAAGGATTAAATTGGACCAATCAGATCAGGTACAATGTGATTTCCACCACATCACTAGAAAAATATATATAATGACCGCCTGAGCATGCTACTACTAGCTACGGACTATAAACTCTGTCAATTACAATGTATCCGTTTGCTTCACTCGAAAATGGATTATAATCTAGCTCCCGGCATACTATGATTAAAATGAAGCTAGACCATCAACTATAATCTCCAACCAGTACCTTGATTTTCTTGTCACAGAGAATAGTATGATGCCCCTTCTCCATAGCCGATAATGCCACTTCTCTTGTCCTGAATTCAAGATACCCATAATGTTTATGTTCATGGTTGTGCACCATTACTTCTATAACATCTCCATCTCCAACATCAGATATGTCATGGAAATGACGATAGAGATCGGCTTCAGTAACCTACAGAAGATTAATTGCAAATTAGATGTACAACATATTTTTCTTTCTTTCTTTCCACAACAAATATGATCAACCACCACCAAAATCATTCACCCACATATATGTATACATATGACCTTGTGACACTGGTTAACTAATAGTACAGTAAAACGATTAAAACAACTAACGTAGGGCTAGCTCGTGTTTGGATACTCTAAATCATTATTATATGTTCTTGAGACAAATGAGACCTAAGCATTGTTGGGTTTTTTCCAGCCCATGATAAGTTGCCCTACGTCTATAAGGAATTATAGTCTTAGAGGATTAAATTGTTTTCTCAATTGAAGTTGTTTTCCCAATTGGAGTTAGTTTCTCAATTGGAGATGGATTCATAACTAGATTCCACTTAGGATCAGTAATCCTTATTGAAGAAGACCTTTATTATGTCTATATAAAAGGGCTATTGTACTAGTTTTGAGGAGGGAGCAAAACAATAATTTGTGTACCACTCAAGGAATTAGAGTGAGAGAATGTTGTAAGGGGCAAAGTGTGTGCGAGAGAAAAGAAAAGAGATAGTGTATTTCTTGTTCTTGTTCTTTCAGGTTTTTCGTCAAGTCCTAGTTCTAGAGATTTGGCAAGATTATTGGTTGTACTCATTATTGATATAGTGAAAAATTGTTGTTGCTATCCCGTGGACGTAGGCACATATTGCTGAACCACGTAAATTATTGGTGTTATTTATCTTTGTTATTTGTTTTTCGATTTCTGGAGTTTGTTCTTGCTTTTCCCATTTTTAAACGCGATATTCTCAACAAGTGGTATCAGAGCCAGGTTTGGCTAATATCGGTTTAGAATGGAGGGTGCAACCTGTTGTAATTGAGTTATGTGGAAATCAAGAGGAGGACATGCTTTACTGAAGGTGTTAAGAGCAAGCCAGCAAGTATGTCTGATGCTGATTGGACCAAGATGAAGATAAGCGATGTTTTCTGGCAAAGAGGTCTATAACTGCCTTTGCCAATGACGATGGGTATTGCGATCAGGGGGAGCCAGGTCAAGAGAAGTCTAATCAAGAGGGTCTTGGTTAATGAGTAGATCGATCAGGGGGAGCTTGGTTATGGGTAATTCGATCAGAGGGAGTCTGGTCATGAAAAGTTCGATTAATGGGAGTTTGGTCAAGAGGAGCAATCCTATTTTGATATACCTTCCTCATGGTCTAGAGGGGAGATTGTTGGGTTTTTTCCAGCCCATGATAAGTTGTCCTATGTCTACAAGGAATTATAGTCTCAAAAGGATTAAATTGTTTTCTCAATTGGAGTTGTTTTCCCAATTGGAGTTAGTTTCTCAATTGGAGAAGGATTCATAACTAGATTCCAATTAGAATTAGTAATCCTTATTGAAGAAGACCTTTATTATGTCGATATAAAGCGGCTATTGTACTAGTTTTGAGGAGGGAGCAAAACAATAATTTGAGTATCACTCAAGGGATTGGAGTGAGAATGTTGTAAGGGGCAAAGTGTGTGCAAGAGAAGAAAAGAGATAGTGTATTTCTTGTTCTTGTTCTTTCAGGTTTTTCGTCAAGTCTTAGTTCTAGAGATTTGGCAAGATTATTGGTTGTACTCATTATTGATATAGTGAAAGATTGTTGTTGCTGTCCCATGGACGTAGGCACATATTGCTGAACCACGTAAATTCTTGGTGTTATTTATCTTTGTTATTTGTTTTTCGATTTCCGAAGTTTGTTCTCATTTTTCCCATTCTTAAACGAGATATTCCCAACAAGCATATTGCTATTTTCGTCATTTTCACATTAAGGAAAAAGTACGAACGTATGATAGTATTACCAAAATTCACTGGGCACGCAAGCCCACAATTATCTGATCCTATCCCACAATCCCTTGCTTTTTTCTGTCATTAAATTCTAGCCAATTAACCAACCAACTACCAAAAAAAAAAATGGCAACGTACACAACTCGAAAATGTATGCATCACCCAACTCAACCTTCTTTCCCAAAACATAATGTGCCAGCGTCCTTTACCTATAGCTTCAAAGTTCAAACCAAATCTTTGGGATAATGCACTAGTTGGTGGGAAAATAAAAAGTTTTCAAGTTATCCTAATCCTATGTGCCCGTGCGTAGACAATAAAATATAAAACCGTAAATCTGTATACAAGAGATATTTAATCACCAACCAGAGAGAGAGAGAGAGAGAGAGAGAGAGAACACAAAAGCATGATAATACCATGAGTTAAATAAGAAATTCTAAGAAATTCACTTGCCTGTGGAGCTAGATTGGCCACAAAAAATGAATAACGAAACCGTTGGAATTCTGTATTTGGCTTCTCATTATCATCATCCTGACCATTATTGCCATCCCCAGCATTTTCTAGTTCTATGACAGCTAGGAGATCCTTCACCCGAGAAGGGCACACCTGAGGAAAGTGTCCCTTTTCGTAACAATAAAAACAGTCCTTTAACTGAGCAAATGTATGATGATCACGTTTTATGTTGCAATATTGCGATTCAATGGAGCACATGTAAGTATGACAGACACTACACATTATTTCAGAGCCAGGTTCCACTTTTGTGCTAGGAGGGCACGATCGAGCCAATGGGCACCATGCAATGTGGTGGTCATTTTTACCACAAATGCTGCAAATATAACTTTCTTTCACAAGAGGGTGAGCAACCCAAGTGTCTACGGGCTTCTGATAATTGGGGCACTCCCAAGAGGTGTGCTCACCAACGTAGTCACAATAAGCACAAATCTCGCCACTGCTGACACTATCATCAGCACTATCGTAATCAGAGTCGAGATCCATTGTATCCTCTGATAGCTCCTCCCCCATAAAAGAAAAGGTGATGATGAAATGACACTGAATAATAATAGACATACATACTTAGTGGGAAAAGGCTTTGTTGTTGTTGTTGTATTCATATTCTATCTTCTCCATAAGCAGCATGTATGCAAAAGTGGAAATGGGGATGCTAGGTTAACTCTAGGTGCGTGTGCGCGAGCATGTAACTTAAGGTGCGTGTGTGCAAGCATGTAAGTTAACTTTAGGTGCGTGTGAGAGAGAAATCTGAGAGAATGAGCCGAATTTACCACCGAATCGCCCCCGAATCAATTCGGCAGTACTGGTACGGAATTCGGATGGTGAAGGACCCTATCCGGCAACTATGGCCTAGCTAGGTTCCTAACCCCTAACCTTAACCCCTAATCCCTAACCCTAACCCTAACCCTAACCCTAGAGGAAGGAAACAATCTAGACTTGGGTATTCATCACAGATAAATGATAAACCATATCTTCATGGGTAATGGAACTAATGCGGAATTTATTAGGATCCGTAAATAGCCAAACAAGCAGAATTGATAAAAAATAAATAAAATTAAAAAAAAAAAAAGTGTGCGTGTGTATAATAATTACCAGGACAGCAACGAATCAGGTGCACTAGATTGATTATTCGTTTTCTCTTTCTAATTTCTTTCTCCCCTGAAATCATAAGATAAAGAAATTAAAAAAGATTAAAAGATTAAAAAAAAAATTCGTTGGATAAATTGATTGAATCCACAAGTTTTAGCTAGATAGATCGGTCAGAGGCGGAGGAGAGGAACTTACTCTTGCGGCGTTTGAGAATCTCCTTAACTGAAAATCACAAAAAAAAAAAAAAATAATAATAATTAAAAAAATAATAACGATTATTACTATTAGGCAAGGGAAAGAAAAAGAATTACCCTTGCACGGGCTTGACGAGAGAGAGTTGCTTTCCATCGCACCGGCTTGACGAGAGCAGAGACCAGACGAGACCAGACGTGTGTAGTTGCAGAGGGAGATAACACGGTGCCCAACCTTCAAACAACGGCACAGAACAGATCCAGAATAAATAATTCAGGGTTATCGATTTGTGCTAGGACCCTTTTCTCCTTACTTTTGGCATTTTATATTGGGTAAGCCGTCATCTGACTCATGAACTAAAATTGACCCCTCAACTATATTTTTGCTTAAATTAAGGACTTGAATTTTTTAAAATTAGCCAATTGGCCCATTCGGTTAGATTCCCTCCAATTTGTCTTTAACATGTCAGCATGTCACAAAACGCACCAATAAATTACACCATGTAGTAATAAAATAAAATAAACTTGTAATTGAAAAAACAAATATAAAAGCATAATTACTTATGAAAATAAAAGCAAAATCGTTCCGCAAACTGATTAAGAATTTTCATACCAAAATACAGTGATTTGAACAAAATGGACAAGATGGAAAATGAACTGCAAAAAAATGGGAACCGCATAGTAGCTTTGAAATCATTATTATTATTAAAAAACGTTCAAATGAATCTAAACATTTTTCAAATGAGTCAAATTGAATTCATTTGGCAAACTAAACGTTCAAATGCTTGGATTCAATCCTTGATAAAAATGAGTGTAATAAAATTTGAAAAATGTGGAGTGTAAGGAGATGTGGGGTATATAGAAATGCAATGTGTATGTCAAGAATGTAGGGTGTGAGGGTATTGTGGGTAAGCATATGTGGTATATTAAGATAATTTTTAATTGAAAAGGCAAATGTAGCGTATGTTAAGTATGTGGGGTTTGTTCAGTAGTATGTGGGGTGTTAATATAATAAGCCCTTACTTTTTTTCATTTTCACCATACCAAACAAAAAAGGTTAAATTAATGTGTCTTCCCAATTGACGCGTGACACCTCACTGGAGCAGTAGGCTGAACTTAAAATGGGCTTCATTTGCAGCTCTAAAAGGGATTTGTTATTTCTGTTAAGTATTATAAGTTAAGTTAGGTATAAGGTTAATTATGCATGTTCGTGGATGTAATTAGGTGGAATTTGTCGATTTACATGATTTTTTTTTTTTTTTTTTTTTTTTTTTTTGCAAATTAGGGTGTGTTGCGAACTTATGAAGCTATGTTGACATGTTATGTAGATGCTGGGGCGTTATTTGTAGTTTTGGTAAATTTGTAGTTTTGAGTAGGGATTGATTTTGTATCTGAATTTTTGTTAATTTAATAGTGATGGGATTGATTTTGTATTTGAATTATTGTAAGTTTTAAATTGGGGATTAAGACCTGGTTTGATATTGAGGTGATTCTAAAAAAAGTGGGTATAAAAAAAAGCTGGGAGTTTTATTGTGTTTGGTAAACATTCAGCTTCAGTTTTTTTTCACAGTTTTTGGTGAAAAAAAGCCAAAAATACAAAGCTGCAAAACCCAGCTTTGAAAAACCGACTTTTTTCACATTTGTTTTACATAAAAGTTTACCAATCACTATAATACTGTTTTTTTTTCAAAAGCACTTTTACAAAAAAGTTTACCAAACACTCTGCTGCTTTATTTCACAGCTGCTTATTCTCACAACACAGCAAAAACAACTTTTTTTCAAAGTACAGCAATACCAAACCAGTCCTAAAATTGTTGAAGTAATGATGCTCTGTTCACAACAGATGTAAAGCTATGAAGCTTTGGTGACAGGTTATTGTTAGGTTATGTATCGTTGATTGTTGGTGTGTGTGTGTATTGTTATGTGTACATGATATGGTAACCTAAGGCGTTTTACTAACAACCAGAGAGGAAGAAGGGTACATGGGAAGGCTTAACAACCTATCCCAAGCCCCCATATGTTAGGATTAATTAGGAAGAAGTTTAATGAGGCACATCTTGGTGCCTTTGGGGTAACCTACTTTAGTTACCTTCAGGGCGTGGATGAATTGGCCTTTAGTGAGCAATTGGTCCATGAGTTGTCGCTTCGTAGAGTGGAAAATCAAGGGGTTAAAGACCTAGAAGGGCTAACTTATTTAATAGGTTGTGAATTGACCCGGTTCACAATGCAAGACTTTTGCCTCATTACCGGGCAACGAGACATAAAGGTTGAGCCATAAAGTATTTAGCTGTTAAGGGAGTATTTTCCCAGAAAATTAGCATTGGTAGGTGAAATATCAAGCGTAGAAAGAAAAGGGGAAAGGTAAAACGAAGGCCATCCCCAAGAAAGTCAGCAAAAAAATATCCGTTACTTGTGATGAGCTTGAAAGGGAGTTTAAGGAGTGCAAAAACAGAGGCAATGCCTTCAAGCTAGGTATGGTATACTTTGTTGATGATGTATTAATAGGGCCAAAGAATAACGTTGATGTGAATCTAGACTACCTCGACATTATGGAGGATAATGGATAGGTTCAATAGGTTTGTATGGGGTTCCATCTCCTTTGAACAACTTCATGACAACCTCTCGTTTACTGCTTCAAGGAGAGGTAGAGGTAGAGTTGAGGGGGATGGTGAGGGAGATGAAGAGGAGGAAGAAGAAGAAGAAGAAGTTAGGGAAACGAAGAGGGCGTAGTAGTCTGAATTAGGATGCAAAGGAATTTCATACTCTTTTTAGGTAATATGTGTTGCTTTCAGGTAATATTGGCTTTATTAATGTGATTGAGTATTCATTTATTAACAAATATGTGCAGGTGTGGGCATACGGAAAAATTTCCTAACTTGAGAGGTGCCTAGGTTACTGCAAGGTGGTAGATCTGGCAGCTACACCGAAAATTTTACGATGCAAGACAACGAAGAAGCAGCCGATCCACGAGCAACTGCAGTTGTATATTGTTGATGCATAAAACCGGAGGTATTGGAACAACATAAATCCGACCATGAATCTGCAAAAAATGTAAATAACACAAGATGTATCGTGGTTCACCCCAAGGTTTGGGCTACGTCCACATTGATATTGTATTTATCTGAAAGGTGAGGGAGAGAATGTGAGAGCCTCTGTAATGAGAGTGAGGCTTTGAGAAGGGGTGAGAGGGCCTAAGAATTGGCATCTCCTAATTGTGAGGGTGAGGAGTCCTTTTATAGAATAAAGGCTCCTCACTTATTACATATTTGCCCATTCTTTTATTACATAATTACATTTAAATCCTCCGAGTATTTGTACGAGATCTAAATACAGAGGCCCTAAGTATGGTATAAACAGTAATCCCCCAAGTCTTCAATCAAGAGAGTCTTTTGGCTGGAGACTTGAGATTCAGTCAATGTGTGGGCCGAAGTAACTAGATGTTGTCTTGAACTGATGCTCGATATGAGGCGATGCTCAATATGAAATGATGCTTAACTAGAAGTAGCACATGTTGTGAGGCTGCTCGGCTCGTGGCTTATGTTGCCTTGGTTGGCTCGGCTTGTGGTGTTAAAGGTAAGGGAGTCCCTTTTATAGAATAAGGGCTCGCTCCTCAATACATGAATGATAGGCTAGAGTTGATGCTCTCTAATGATGGTGAGAAAGTCTCTTTTATAGAATAAGGGCTCGCTTCTCAATACATAAATGATGGGTTATGAGTGATGTTCGCGGCGAGGTGGTTGCTCAGCTGGCGGCAATGCTCCCTAATGAAGGTGAGGGAATCCCTTTTATAAAATAAAGGCTCGCTCCTCAGTACATAAATAATGGGTTAAGTCCCCCGAGTATTTCTCATGAGGCCTAGTTGAGGCCCAATATATGGTACATATTGTAGTCCCCCAAGTCTTCGGTCAATAGAGTCTGTTGGCTAGAGACTTCAATTTGAATCCATGTATGGGCCGAAGTGGCGGTTGTTCGGATGTGGTATTTGTATACCCTGCACTGAAGCTTTGTAAGTGAAGCTTTGTAGGTGAAGCTTTGCAAGTGAAGTTTTGAAGCTGGAGCTTTGTAAATGAAGTTTTTGAAGCTAGATCTTTTGTAAATGAAGCTTTTGAAGCTAGAGCTTTTGTAAATGAAGCTTTTGAAGCTAGAGCTGTATAAATGAAGCTTTTGAAGTTAGAGCTTTTGTAAATGAAGCTTTTGAAGCTGATTGACATGAGTGATGCTCATGAATGTTTATGTTGATTGACATGAGTGATGCTCATGGATGTTGACATGAGTGATACTTATGAATGTTGACATGAGTGATGCTCATGAATGTTTATGTATGATTGAATGAGTGATGTTCATGAACGTTTATGTATGATTGACATGAGTAATGCTCATGTATAATTTGAAGTATTGGACGTACTTTTGATCACCTGGTTAGTGGTGATAGCAGCAGGTTGCCGAATAATTTTGGAGTACTGGGCGTACTTTTGATTGCCTGGTTGGAGCTATTTTGGGCTTATGGGCCTTCGCCCTCTACACAATATTCCAGCCCTTTTAATTTGGGCTTTGCCCTTTTTTTTTTTTTTAATTTTTTTTATTATTACCCTCTGATGGGTTTATACAGATGTCTCCGAAAGATACGAAAAATAAATTACATCATTCAAAAATAAGGAAAGTAAATCACATCATTCTGGTGGGGTGTTTATTCCTTGCTTTTGCAATGTCGCCATGTGCTCTCGCAGAGGAAAACCTTCATTTTGCTTTATGCTTTTTCTCGAAATGATTTTCTTTGCTTTTGTTTTTTCTTTTCTACTTTGCTTTTCCCACTCTATTTCTTTCTCTTTTCTCTTTTCTCTTTTCTTTTCTTAGTGCTCCGTGGTCCACGAGTCCACAACTTGTTATCCACTTGCACTCTTGATTTAAAAGTTGTTGCACCAGAAGCTAATTGCTCCCAGAGACTGTCCGTAACCCGAATAATCATACTCCACCAAGTTGACTCGGAGGTGGAGACTCAACTCACTGGACAACTCGTACATCTGACCCAGATCAGTTGCATTCCCCTTTCATCTAAATGCTTTAGCTTACTAACCTTCCTGTCATGGGCCACCCGCATCTTTTCCTCGGCTTTTACTTCATTGTATAGTTTCTTCTCCTAAAGATATAGCTTGTGTAAGGTGGAAGAGAGATTTTTGGATCTCAACATCAATTCTTCATCGAACCCCAATTGAGCAGGAACAGCCACTTCAGCAGAGGTCGATGGCTCGGCACTCGAGCATCTTGGAAATTTCGTTCCCCGACTCCGAATCT